TTATCAAGCTGAGGGTTACGCCTTTCTTTCGTGGCTTGCTGCGTCTCCTCTGCTCCTCTTCTTCTGTTTCTATTTGTGCTTTTGGTGTATTTTTTGGTGTAAGCGGATGGTGGTATCGCTTTGTGCCCTCATAACTTGAGCCCACGCCGATTTTCCTGAGGATACTTGCTACACGGCTGTCGGAGCGAAGGCTTTGAAACCGCAATGGCGGAAACGGAACCGATTGTCACACAAGGCATCGAGCCTTCATCGGGTGAATCACACTCGCCGCCGGGTGACCGTCACATCACAGCGACCTGGGGATCAAAAGATGGGAATATATCAAATCGGCAATGGAACGATGCGGAAGCAAACAAACTACCTGAAAAGGTAGCGGATCTGGAGAAGAAGGGTGAAATCAACAATGATCGCCCACGGAAAAGAATCGTGGTTGTAGGTTTGGGCATGGTCGGCATTGCTTTTATGTAAGTTTTGAATATTGACGAGACAATTGCTGTGTGTGCTGATTAATGTCAGCGAAAAACTCATGAAGTACGACGTCAAGCGGAGAGAATACGACGTCGTTGTCATTGGCGAAGAGCCGCACCTCGCATACAACCGAGTTGGTCTAACTAGCTTCTTCCAACATCGCCAAGTAGAAAACTTGTATCTCAATCCGCAAGAATGGGTCTGTTGCAACCAATCTGGAACATATGATTGAGGCTAACTTAGTTGCAGTATTCTTCCATGCCAGAAGGCGCATTGAGTTACCACCTCAACACTCTTGTCACCGAGATTAATTCCGAGAAGAATACTGTTAAGACATCATCTGGAGAGTCAGTTCCATACGACATCCTAGTTCTAGCAACGGGTTCCGATGCTCTTCTTCCCCGACACACGCCCGGCCACGATGCACAAGGCGTATTCGTATACCGCACCATCGAGGATTTGCAAAGATTGATTCAATTTTCTTCATCACGGAAAGGAACCACCGGCGCAGTCGTGGGCGGCGGTCTGCTCGGCCTTGAAGCCGCACATGCGATGATGGATCTAGAAGACTTTGCCAAAGTCAAGCTGATCGAAAGAAACCGCTGGGTCCTGTCGAGGCAATTAGATGGCGATGCCGGTGGTATGGTTGTGGAGCAAGTAAGAGCACTGGGCCTGGATGTAATGCTAAGCAAGAGGGTGGGCAAGATTCTGACTACTGAGGACAACTTTGTCAAGGGTGTGGTATTTGAGGATGGCGAAGAGATGGAGTGCTCTTGTATTTGCTTCGCGGTAAGTGTTTTTGGTATTCTGGAATGACGACCAAAACTAACATACGTAGATTGGCATCAAAGCCCGAGATGAACTAGCCAGGAGGGCGGGCATCAAATGTGCTGACAGAGGAGGCGGCATAGTCGTCGGACCCGATCTAGCAACATCCCAACGCGATATCTATGCCATTGGCGAGTGTGCAAGCTGGGAAAATCAGACCTTTGGCCTCATCGCCCCTGGCGTCGAGATGGCCGACGTACTAGCTTTCAACTTGACTCAAGCGAAAGCACACGCACCGCGAAAGTTCAAAGCTCCAGATCTCAGCACAAAACTCAAATTGCTAGGGGTCGAAGTTGCAAGTTTCGGGGATTTCTTCGCCGATCGCGATGGACCCAAAAACTTGCCTGGACGCCAGCGCGCCGATAGCAAGGAACCGAATGCGAAGACGACACGAGATAAGGTCAAGAATCTGACAGATGGACCAGCACCACCACCAGTTAAGGCGCTCACATACAAAGATCCATTTCAGCAGGTATACAAAAAGTACTTGTTTACCATGGACGGAAAGTATCTGCTAGGCGGCATGATGATTGGCGATACAAAAGACTACATCAAGCTTGTGCCCATGGTGAAAAACCAGAAACCGCTCGAGATACCCCCCAGCGAGCTCATTGTCGGCGCACAAAAGGGCGACGACGATGGTTCTGATCTGTGAGTAAAAAAACAGTGACCAAGGGAGTACTCTTACTGACAGCCGTAGATCCGATGACACTCAGATCTGCTCATGCCACAACGTCACCAAAGGCGATGTAGTCAATGCTACCAAAGACGGAACATGCAAGAGCATCGGCGATGTCAAGTCTTGCACCAAAGCCGGCACTGGCTGTGGTGGCTGTATGCCGCTCGTCCAAACCATTTTCAACAAGACCATGGCGTCCATGGGCAACGAGATCAAGAACCATCTCTGCCCACACTTTGAGTACTCTCGTGCCGACCTCTTCAACATCATCTATGTCAAGGGTCTCAAGGATTTCGCCGCTGTGATGAAGGAGGCAGGAAAGGACGCCAACTCCCTGGGATGCGAAGCCTGTAAACCGACTATTGGAAGCATCATCTCTTCGCTGTATAATAAACATCTCCTTGAGGTGAACAACCGCGGTCTCCAAGATACAAACGATCGATTTTTGGCAAACATTCAGCGCAATGGCACATTTTCCGTCGTTCCCCGAGTTTCTGGCGGCGAGATCACACCGGAGAAGCTTATCATCATTGGAACAGTGGCGAAGAAATACAACCTCTACACCAAGATTACGGGAGGCCAGCGCATCGACATGTTTGGTGCGCGCAAGCAAGACCTCCCAGATATCTGGCAAGAGCTCGTTGACGGCGGCATGGAGTCTGGTCATGCGTATGCAAAATCGCTCCGAACCGTCAAATCATGTGTTGGAACCACATGGTGCCGCTTCGGCATTGGTGATAGTGTAGGCATGGCTGTGCGTCTAGAAGAGCGCTACAAGTCTATTCGTGGTCCACACAAGTTCAAGGGCGGAGTTTCAGGCTGTGTCCGCGAATGCGCAGAGGCCCAAAACAAGGACTTTGGCCTCATTGCTACCGAAAAGGGATTCAATATCTTTGTCGGTGGCAACGGTGGTGCAAAGCCCAGACATTCCGAGCTATTGGCCAAGGATGTGCCACCAGACGACGTGGTCCCTATTCTCGATCGCTATCTCGCATTCTACATCCGGACGGCCGACAAACTGCAAAGAACAGCCCGATGGATGGAAAACCTTCCAGGCGGTATCAAGTACCTCCAAGAAGTCATCCTGCAAGACAAACTCGGCATCTGCGCCGATCTAGAGAAGCAAATGGAAGATCTCGTGGGCACTTTCTTCTGCGAATGGACCGAAGTTCTCAAAGACCCCAAGAAACGCGCCTGGTTCTCGCAATTCGCAAACACCTCGGAAACCATCATCGACACCATCGAGCCTACGCAAGAACGTGGCCAGGAACGCCCTTCCTACTGGCCCAAAGACTCCGTCACCGAAGACTTCCGCGGCACAAAATGGACAGAGCTCTCCTGGCAACCCTTGGTCAAAGCCTCAGAGTTCCAAGATGCAGATACGGGTGATAGTAAAGCGATCAAGCGCGGCGACACACAACTCGCGGTGTTCAAAGTCCGCGGCAAATACTATTGCACGCAGCAAATGTGCCCGCATAAGCGCGCCTTCGTGCTCTCCGACGGCCTCATCGGCGACGACCTCGCAAACAACAAACTCTGGGTCTCGTGCCCTTACCACAAACGCAACTACGAGCTCTCTGGCGAAAATGCGGGTAAATGTGCAAATGATGAGTCCGTCAACATTGCTGTGTTCCCGATTGAAGAGAGGGAGGATGGGTGGTTGTATGTCAAGCTACCGAGTGTGGAGGAGCTGGATAGCGTTCTAGGGACGAGCAAGTTCAAAATTAAGAAGAGTGAAAGCGAGGATCCGTTTGTGGCGCTGGATAAGAAGTTGCAGCGGTTGCAGCTTAAGGGGAGGAAGGGCGTGCCAGTTTCGCACCTTGAAGGGGGACTGGGAGAGAAGGGGAAGACAGCACAAATACTGGCTGGCGGCGAGAGGGGTGCTGGGGGCTTGGATTGGTAAAGGAGGGATGATGACCATGGAAGCATTTGGTGTGGCCAAGGTCAACGAAGTAACATTAATAAGCTCCTAGAATATTCCCCCACAACGAACAATATCCAAAGTTTTGAAAATAGACAAAATTCATGCTACACTGATCACAGAATTGGGGTTGTGATACCGAGTTTGAGAAAAGACTGGAAAGAAAATGAAATACCCATTGTTGAACTTTGTAGCCACGTGTAATAACGAATTATACTGCCATCCACGCCCCTTAAAGATCGAATGTCAACCACAAAATTTTGCTACTTAATTCCTGACTAAACAAGTTTAGAGTTTCGAGACACGAAGTTATGCATATAGAGAGTACCGCTGTTGCGAATGTGCTTGAAACTTAACACAGGATAGGATGGGTATCTTAGCGACTAGTCACTGATTCTAAATGGATTTAAGCTTGATCATAATCGCTTATTTGTCTTACAAAACAACCTATCTTAAATCTACACAATTCTTGCTTACTAGGCATAACTTAAGATCATAGTGCTATAGTACTGTAACATTGATATTAGGTATTTCATATTAGGCTAGGCTATAGGGGTGCGTTAATAAATATTTTATAAGGTCGCAGAGATAGGACTAAATTCTCAGTCTCTAGCTAAATAGCGAGATTTAGCACTGTTAAAGGTTACTTATATTTCTTTTAAGGGCGACGAAGACCTCTATAAGCGGCCCATGAACTACTTCAGGGATGAAATATATCAATGGACTTTATCATTAATGGCCTTAAACTTATATTCATTGTCACAAATGTTACTAATATAGCGAGATAATATAAGAAGTTTTCATATCGCAGTGTGCTGCTGATAGCAGAACCCATCATGGGTTTGAGAGGTATAATGGCTATGACAATCAAGTGTGAGAGAACGAAAATGTTCAGGAGCTAGCAGAGTCCAAGTCAAGTCTCAACATAACTGAGTTGTCTCAAGTGCACCCCACCTTTGCCTCGGCCGATAGGCACGGATCTACCCCGGATTCATCATGTCCCACTCTTCAGGCCATGCTGGTTGCGAGCGCGATTATATGAAGTGGTGCTGGCCTTGCGTGGCCATCCACAATGATTGAATCTGTCGCATACGCTCATGACGAATGATCGACAACGAGAGACCAGATATCTGGAACCTGATTCTCAGCCAGGGAGAAGACAAGCGCCTGCCACTCAACGAAATGTACTCCAATGTAGACTTGTTCATGATTGCTGGTACCGAGACCACCGCTACGCTTCTGAGTAGATTCACCTATTACCTGCTCAAAAATCCAGGCAAGTTGAACAAACTAGTGCAGGAGATTCGCAGCGGTTTCACGTCAGAGGAAGAACTTGCGATCGAGAAATTGAGACAACTCAAGTACTTGGCTGCTTGCTTTGAAGAGGGTCTTCGTATGTACCCACCGGTTCCGAGCGGCTTCTATTGTGTGGTTCCAGAAGGCGGTGCTAATGTATGCGGAGAATACGTACCAGGAGGCGTAAATAATGATCATACCTATATCAAGGTGTGTTTGATACATATCACCATTATACAATATATCACTGCTATGCTACTATTTATTGATCTGTAATTACAAAAGAACGAACATCTAACCAAAAATCTTCGTCGCTTCAACTATCCCACCGCCTGGATCCTTCCTTAAAATCTTGATTTCAGTTTCGCATTTTGCTCAGCACCGTGGCAGCTTCACGGGAATATTTGCAACGCATTCTGATGCTCTTTCCAATCTTGTAGAATAAGAATGGAAAGGGTACACAAGCGAGAGTTAGAAACGCGGGAATGGATGAGGCCCAATGTATACCCAGATTTCGGTACATGTAAGGTGTGAACAACGGGAATGCCGCACCAAAAAGTGAGCGAAGGACCGAGCTGGCAGCCATCACTGATGCCGCATATATAACGTACGAGTCGATGAGATAATTGATGCACGATATAAAGACCAGCACCATGCCGAAGCCAAACGGGACGCTGCCCATGATGCTGACGATCCAGTGTATGTTTGGACCATTGGTCCAAGCGAACCAAAAAAGCCCGACGGGTATGGTGATACTCCCAACCAGCGCGGGTGGTAATCTTGCTTCAGGATCAAGATGTCCGGTCGGTGAATTTGCCGTGTTACGAGCATAGCGTTTGTTTTCCCAAAACAAATAGATGATTGCAAAGGACATGCCTACTGCAATTCCGATGAATGCGAGGCCCCCAACACCTGTCGACCAACCCCGACCGATCTGGTAAACAATAGGGAAAGCTGGGAAGAACATGTAGAGTGCTCCATATATGATTGCCGTGTATACAGACAACAAGAGGACAATTGGTTCGCAAAACAACAATATCCAAGGTCTGATCAACGCCGTGGAGAATGCTTCGGAGACGGTTTTTTTGCCTGCATCCAGCTCAACCTTACTTTTGAAAGTTTTCGAGGTAACTTGAGAAATTTTTGCGGCTCGTTTGCTCAAGAGCACAGGTGAATACGTTTCAGGCACAACTAAGGCACAGAGGATTGCCATCACTCCTGTGAAGATAGCAATTACGCCTTGTATCCAACGCCAGCCGACTGTCTGGCCAACAAACCCACCCACTGGAAAGGGTCAGCATCGCTAAATCCAATTATTACGTGCAGAACTCACCAATGGGGCCAATCGCCGGGCCAAGGAACGGAGCCGCCGAAAAAAAAGTGTTTGCCAGTCCTCGTTGGGAAGATGGAAACATATCCGCAAGAACACCGCCACCATTCGTCAGCGGCGACGAGCCTAAAGCACCACCCAAGAATCGCGTTACAGCTAGAGTAGTCATATTCTGAGAAGCTGCTGAAGCGGCACTGAATGCAGCAAGAAGAAAAGCGGAACCAACCGTGATGTACCGGCGTCCATAAATCTCTGTATTCAATTAGTGGACAGCACGAAGGTAGACGGGTGCGAACAGGCTGACCACTCAATGGTGCCCACACCAGGGGCCCAATAGCAAAACCCAAGACGAAGAATGCAATTCCCAACGTGGCGACGATTTGGCTGACACCAAATTCCGTCTGTATTTCCCGGATACCGCCAGAATAGGCTGATGATGCAAATGACACGGCAAGAGTCATCATGGCTATGATGGCGGTTATCGTCCATTTGATACTAATTGGAATATTCATTGGATCGCAGGGGTCATTTGGCAGCCATGTTATGACGTAAGGGTCTTCTGAAGTGCCATTTCCATCATATTCAGCGTTGAAGATGGCATCGCTGAGTATTATTTGATGCAAAACACGGTTGAAATGGGGTATAGGAGCTGTAGACCGGCTGCCATTGTTCGACTCGCTTTGATTCATGTCACTAGCCAAGTAGTCGCTCGTGCCGTTTGTTAGTTGATCAAGACTGATGTTGTTTGATTTTATTCGAAATATGAGGGGACAAGAAGAATAGTCAGGCGAGTTTGTCAATTTTTTCGCGAAAATGGCTTGTTTTGTTTTCCGTGACCTACTCTCAAGGCAGTCTATTCACAGACATCTCCGACCGTCCGGTATCTCCGGACCCGCTAGTCCTGAAGGAGTCAATAGCAGCTCCCGGGTGTCAGAATCGGAGAACAAATTCGACCGGAGGCTGTATGGTGAGTGTCGCTGGCCGTTGGTCCGAGATATGATGCGATTGGTGAATCTCTACTACGTATCGTATCTGACAGCGCTACGATCACTTGGCTTACCAACCGCTGCCACTATTGTCACTAATGTCTCACCCCAAACCAATTGAGATGCTATAAGTAGATTTGGAAAGTAGAGCCGATGGATCTAGGCAGTGATAAGGAATATATCCATGAGCATTGCGTGTGGTATGCTATGTTGGAAGTGTACATTCACCATAGTGTTGGCGGTTTACTCGGCGGCCTCTCACAAGACCATCTTGAAAGAACAACCCGCCCTACAATGACGACCAATGCGGAATAATATGCTCAAGCCAGCACGCCTTCGCGGAAAGGGACTGCTGCAAGCTCGTTCACTGCGTGTTGCCAGTGTTCGGTGGCGGTGGTTTGGACTTAACGAAACTGATGTAACGTTGCAGGGTTGTCACCGGTTACTGAGCGTCAAAAACGGATTAAATAAAAGGCTATAGTTGGATGTTCTTATTTTGGAGCGTGCTGTTGTAACCTTGGGTTAACGTGTCCAAAGTGGCGACCGTATTGGGTCATGGTGGTTGGATGGCTAAGCATCAAATGTCGCTGAGAGCAAACATATTCACAAGCTGTATGACGAAGAAATGGAGCCGATACGACTGCGCTGTCGAACTGGTTTGATGGTTGGACTGATTTGGCGGTTCGACGGAGTTAGAGTAATACATAATGGTGAGATTCTGACTTGATCGTAGCAAGCAGGTAAAATCTACCCCTCTCATACTCTTTCGCAAACTATATTTGAACATGGAGAATATCAAAATCTATCTGGGACAAAGGCAGATATGGGTGGACGCGCAAACGTTCAGCGCATGGTTTCCCAAACGGAAGTCTGAAAGCTCAATACAAGGAGATCTCTGGGTACAAAGGCTGTATAACTATTTCAACGGTCATTTCGGCATCAGAAAGGAGGTTATTCAGAAGACGTTGGAGCGATTCTTCGGCATACTCGGACCTTACGCGCGACATGGCAATGGAGAGACGCGACACCGCGTTCGTCAGGTCCTACAGCACTATTTCGATCAAGAGTATCTCAACAACGCATATCGGCCCAAAGACCTCCAATGCTTGCGGCATACATTCATCATTCTAGTGCAACTGGCGCAGAAGTTTGAGTCCTTGCTACTAGCCGAGGCGTTGTCCACTTTCTGGGACCATACCAAGAGCAAGATTAATCGCCACGAGAAAAGCGAGTACTTGGCAGACTGGAAGAAGGCAGCGGAAAAGGTTCAAGAATCGCATGCAACCCGCCCTTTGGCTGCTTTCATCCAACAGCGTCGTGGCCGAGCACGGCCGGCACCTGCTGTAAAATATGGACATCGCAAAGTGAATTTTCGACTTGAAGTCCCAGCTTTCGCGAACCCAGCATGTGCGCTTCCCGCAATTGCACCCGTCAGATACCCTCGAGACGAGTATTTCGACAAGCTGAACAAGATCCAGTATCAGCAGCGGGAGATGAAGGAAACACTGGAGAATGTGAAGGGAAAGCTTGACCGGCTCATACGTCGCGCATATTGATGGGAAATAGTTGGGGGTTTGGATACTCTATCTAGGGAAGTTTTCTTGTGGCAAGGCATATTGTTCGGAAAAAGAGGATGGGATAGTAGTTGGGCTGAGAGAGAAGTTTCCTTGATTAAGTTAGAGTGAATTAAATCGACTTGGCATATGAGTAGGAACGATTGGTTTGTACTGCCCGATTTGGAAGGCAAGGGCAACTATATCGTATTGCAATATCCCTTCTAGAGTAATGGCTTCTACTTTCGTCCTTTACCACAGCGTAGCTACAACTCGCAAAGACTGGGCTCTGTGGGGTGAGATGGTGCTAAATTGGATTAGAGAAACGATAGTCTGCCCGATGCTGGTAGTCATGCCATGTGTCTCTAGTAGCAAACTTGTGCAACGTAACAAGGACGTTGTATGACCCATAATTCATGTCGGAATGATTTGATTGGAGGTAGTGCTTACCGACAAGGCTAGGCTCGCAACTAGGTATGAACTGTTGGATGAAATCATCAACAAATAATAGGATTTTTTGTACCAGTTAGGGCTGGAATCTATTGGCAAACCTAGACATGGTGAAGGAACGCATGATGGCACCTTAGACCAATGATTTCCTGCCACGCAAAAAGATGCTCGTAACCCCTCAATGTGTTGAATGCGCCGGACGCCTTGCTGACTCAATTGAATACGCTGAAATCGATGCAAAGAGAAACCAAGTCGATTGGCATCAGCGTAGATAGTGTATGACGAGCCAGCAGAAGAGGAAAAAGACGACGACGCCACCCCAGAAGATCCACTTGTCCTGTTTTGCTCGCCTCTCGACCATGCGTATTGTGTCTCCACTGATGCCGAGGGTATTGGCAACCGTGTATAGCCTTCTCTGGGTGCCTTTGAGCATATCCCTCTGCTGGCCAAGATCGCCGAGCACGGCTCTTCCCCTATCGAGGAACTCGTCGAGTTGCTCCGAGGTTTTGTTGAAGAAGGTGTTTTCGCGCAAGAGATGACCTTCACGATCATATTGGCCACCTTGTGGGGCGCCTGCTGAGTATGGGTTGGGTCGGTAGGGGGCATTGGGGTCGTAGGGTTGGGAGGGGGCAAAGGCTGAGTGCTGGGCAGCTAGGTTGTGCTGTGCATAGGGATTCTCGGGCGTGGCTGTGTTGTGAGGGCGGCGGCCTAGAAGTTCGGTGCGGGCTTCTGTGGTTTGCTGTGAGGGTGGTGAGTAAGCATTTGTCGCGTGCGATTCTGAACGCGGACGGTGGTTTGAAACGTACAATGTCCTCGTTTGCGCTCTTTATGCGCTTGAAGCTAGCACGGTATTCGTCCAGCTCTGCCCTGAAATTCTTCAATCTCTCCTGCGCCTTTTCGGCCTTTGTCTGCACCGGCTCTTGTCTCGCGAGCTTGCCATAGTCGTCGATGGTGCGGGCGAATGTTGCAAGGGAGGCGTTGAGCTGGGCCTGGAGGTGTGGAGAGGGCGAGGCTGAATCGGCAAATTGATCCAAGTCTTTTCGTATTGAGGTCGACTGCCGCAAGGCTGAATTGAAGAGGGCGTTCTATTTGCGACGTGAGCTTGCGCTATGCTATGTATGTGCCACCAGACGAACCATTGCGAGCTTTTTTTGCTGTTTTGGCTGAGGTCAAGTGTGAAAGGATCGCGTAGTGATTGTGTGCGAGAATATCTGCGCTCTTGAGTAACTGATTCTGTATGTATTGGTGCCTTGTAGGCAACGTTTTTTGGTGACTTGACACATTGCATCATGGCCACATGCAATCATCGTCGCATTCTTGCGCTAGCCTAAAGCGGACTGGATCGGGAATTTGAACACTATCCCGAGCTATGCATGCTCTCCTCCCAATTACATCGACACTAATCGCGTAGGCGCCTTCGACTGCATTTCTCTTGGTACTAGCAAACTTCTTTTCAAAATATACTGCTCGGCACATGTTGATAGTCCGCCTCACAGGAACGCAACATGCACACCAGCCGCTTATCGCAATCTGCTTGGTCTCGGCCATCTATCCAGCCAGGTCTTCTCCATGGCCAACCCTACATTATTCCATATCATATCAATTCATGTTCCCTCCCGTCTAACTCGCAGGGGTTCAATCTTGACGTCGGTTTCTTCCCCTCCTGCCTATCCGGGTAATCGTCTACGCAATCCTTGCTCGCGGGACGCTCGCTATTTGCAACTGCGGATCCGGTGGCTACCACCAAGCGCAAAAAGTGCAAGACGAAGTCGAGGCGCGGTGTCGTCGGCTGAAGCCTCTAACTGTCATGGGAAGTTCGATAACATCCCAACTTTCGAGCCCGAGCTTGATGTCATGGCATGCCGTCTTGCTTTCTTGGCCGCGGGCTATCCGCTTTTCTCTATTTGAGTCGCTGTCCTGAGAAAATCCAGATACTCCCATCTTCTCCTTCTCAAACATAATCATGCGCTTGCTGTCGCTTTTGCATGTCAGTACGCTGATCTCAGCGGCATGCGCACATGATGTTCATGAGCGCGACCTTCCACCTCCAGTTGCCATCAACGACCAGACGTACACTCAATGCGCCAATGCAGCATGGCCGCCCTCAAACGTCGGTACTGAACTCATTCCGCAAGTTCCGGACGATGAGATGCGTGCAATCTTAGACGAAGTGAGCCCTGCCAATATCCAAGCCACCATCGAGAAGCTTGTCTCTTTCGGAACTCGCCACACTCTTGCAACATATAATAGCTCAACGCGCGGTATACATGCAGCCAGGGACTGGATTGCTTCTGAAATGCAAAAGTATGCCGACGAGAGCAATGGGACCATGACAGTCGAAGTCCAGAGCTACGTCCAAGGCGTGGCCAGCAGGATCCCGTTCCCAGTCACCATATCCAATGTCTTAGCGACCGCCAAAGGAAGCCAGGATCCAAGTAGGGTCTACGTCATGACCGGGCACTATGACAGCCGCGTCACCGACGTCCTCAACTACGAAGCTGATTCACCTGGTGCCAACGATGATGCTAGCGGGACAGCTAGTAAGTTCAGTAATGCATCTTTCGCAGAGTGGAGACTGATTTCGAATAGTTGCCATGGAGATTGCTCGTATACTATCCAAGCATCAACCAAAATCTACCATCATTCTGGGTGCTGTCGCTGGCGAAGAGCAAAACCTCTATGGTTCCACATACCTTGCCGAGACACTCCGAAATTCTAGCACCAACGTCGAAGGCATGTTGAACTGTGATATTGTCGGATCCTCGACTGGTGACCGTGGACAAAAGGACCCCTTTACCATTCGCGTTTTTGCAGAGGGCGTGTCGCTGACGGGGATTGACAAAATAACACCTGCTCGACGCCTTCAAATCGGTGGTGATAGCGACACCTCTGCACGAGAGCTCGCTCGTTTCTCCGCTGAAGTTGCTGCTAATGATGCCACTGGTATGAATATTGCTATCATTTACCGTCTAGATCGCTTCCTGCGCGGCGGCGACCATACTGGTTTCCTTCGCGCTGGGTATCCTGCAATTCGTTACACAGAACCCAACGAGAACTTTGCTCACCAGCACCAAGACATCCGTACTGAAAATGGCACCGTATACGGTGACTTGATTGAGTTTGTTGACTTTGAGTATACAGCACGCGTTGGCAAAGTTAATCTCGCTACACTTTGGTCGCTTTCGCAAGCTCCCGGTATGCCTAGGAACGTGACCATCGACACAACCGTACTCGATAATGATTCGCGGATCAAGTGGATCAGTTCCGATAGTCCTGATGTAGCTGGATATGAAGTTGTTTGGCGACCCACGACAGCCAGCTTGTGGACACACACGGTCGATGTGGGCAAAGTCGGCTTTGTAGTTCTTCCACTGAGCAAGGACAACGTCATCTTTGGCGTTAGGACGATTGGTACCAACGGATACAAAAGTCCTGCTGTCTATCCCGTTCCTGGATAGAATGACTCGTTCAAGATCCATCAGAAGAGAATGAAGTCGAGAAAAATGTACTCAAACTCTGATGCCGATCCTAATCGCATATGATTCAATATTCGTGTTTGACATACATAATATATGCATAAGATAATGCGAAAGGTGGGCCTTTGCAGTTGGCCTCGTTGTGAATCCTGCTTTCTCATTGTCGCATATCATGATGAATTCTGAGAGCGCATCGCAACCAAAGCAACGATTATGTTTATTTATCCTGGAAACGGCTATCGATCTCGGTCTCTCACTGTCTACTCTTTTCTTATGTAACTCATACTCTTCTTCTCAAGTTGCGAGGTATACCTATTTGGCGTCGCATCCTCATACCCTGTACAGCTAAGCCAGGCTTACCTGCCCACTACAATCGAGTACTGGCCATCTCTGACCTTCAACACGTCGAGTATGAACTCTCCGCATCTCATTTGTGAGATGGAAATACGCCCAGGTGAACACTTGTCACACTATGATCAAATCATTTATGTTTCCCATCATGGACATGAACGAGGTTACTTTCTGTTTCGCCACATACAAGTCCTTGTTAATGACCTGGAAACCACAGAAACCTACTATAAATGGGCAATTAAATGGATAACTATTTTACGTATGATCCTCTAGTCTGTTGTACCAGGGTTAGTGGCCGACAGAGGACTAGAAAGGCGATACGTAAGGGATCAAATCGTAACAACACATGTCAACGATTGAATGGTCGTCAAGTTGGGTCTGATAAGCAAGTATACAAGATTCTTTCTGCTAACCAGCATTCTGACCATGATACGTATGCAATAAGTTTGTAATGTACCATGATGAAGTCGGGTAGCTGTGGAGCCGAAGGCGGGGTAATGATTAGCAGGTAGTACTAGTACGTCGTAGTCGCAGTCGCAGTGAGGGATCGGGCCGTGCCGCATGCCTGGAACCTAATCACTATCGTATAGTCCACGCTTGCTTCCATCATGAGATCTCATAACTACAACGGTACCTACCTTACTTACGAATCTACCACAGTACTTCACAGGCTGTGAAGATACACTCCGCTTTCCGGTTTACACAAATATCATCGCAGCATAAGCTACATGTCATGATGAGGCCAAGTTATGCCTTTGAAAAGAAGAATATGCGATGAGTTGGCTCGAAGAACCTCTGTCGCCATTCGCCTAGTCTATACCAAGATCTTGGGAAATTTTCCATGCTAGCGTCAGATTAACGGGTACGATGGAGTAGACGGATCGGCTAGATCGGCCAGAGCGTCTAGATCTAACAGGTCAGCGAGCGATCGCACGACCGGGTAACCAGGGAAATATGCAGCTAAAGCTCTCCACTTGGTTAGAATGCAACCTGAACCCACGGAAGCTCCGGGTCCCCGTGACCACAGTAGACGGTTGGCCTCGTTGTCGGGTATCAGACCTCGATCGGTAAGTAGGCTTTGTGATGCCCTAATGAGAAGAGTGACTAGGTTATTGGGGCTACGTAAATCCTACACCGGATGGTATACGCTCACCGCTACACGTGCACAGCGTCTTGCATATCGCATGCCGGAAACTATATTCTGCATTCTTTTTCTTTTCTTTCCAAACCGCGTCATGTCCACCATATCGGCTAGTGAGAGGCAATTTGTGCATCTCGTGCTAATGCTATGTGACATTAGTAAACCGTATTCAGAGAAATTTGTGTCTATGAATATCCGTATTTTTCTGGCGTTCGTCAAAGTCAGATGTGCGTTTTCAAGACAACAGGGATATGCGTTCACTCGAGTGAGACTACTACGCTGCATACACGATTAATACATCCATGTTTGCACACCGGCTTGTAATCATTGTGCGGTTATCAGTTCTTGGAATCATGTAGCCCGTATTGTACGCAAAAGGGAAGTGTGCAAAGAAGAATCGCTTATTAGTTTCCTGTTGTGATGCTTTACGATTACATCCTTCAGATTTCTCACTTTGATGATGTATGCAGACGCTGCTAATAACAATTTGTTGAAAAGATGATGCAAGGAAATATACATCCCACCTACATGTATAACGGAATGCGAGATAGCAGCTCCTGTCACAAGTCGACAGCTCCCCATGTTTGGCGTTCTTTTTCCTTTTTGCAATGTATGGTGGTCTTCACTGCAAACATCGCATTACACAACTCTAAGTTGAGAATCTAATCAAGCATCTGCTCAGCATGTGACCCATTTGCGCATAGAAAACGTATTATTTATTCCAAAGGTAGCGTTCTGGCCAAGACATCCTTCATGCAACTTCTCTGTCCACGAGTCTACTCATTTTCGGCAATCGCTCCATAGACTCTATTGTTTCCAGAATTATATTCTTTTCGGCTCGCTAGGGAGGAGGTAGAACAACGATAAAGTTTTGTGAGTCGGATGCTATAAAACAACTATCAAGCTTCATCCATTGTTTCTGCTTCTCGGGTACGGCTTTCCCAGTAATCCCTAATTATTCTATCTGGAATTCATATATACCATGACGAGCAATATGCCCAACGAAACTTGCGACTATGGTGACCTGAAGGTCACGCTTACAAGTGATCTGCAATGGATGTGGAACGAGAAGGACACTGGAGGCGACCTATACGGCGAGTTTTATCATGCGATGAACCAGGGCGATATGCGCCCCTTGGGAGGCTTTAGCCAATCAAAATAGGAGGATCAAAATGGCAAGAGAGCTACGCTCTTGGTTGGAAACGCCTCCAAAGGTTCTGAGAAGCCAGCCGTTGCAAGTCCAACTGGTTACACAAAGATCTGGACCGGTCGCGGCAGTGGCGGCAAGTACGACGGCTCTTTCTGGAGGCCGATAGCTCCTTCTAGATACGTCGCGTTAGGATATATCTGCATCAGTAATAATAATACTCCATCAGTCAACTATATGTAGTGCGTTCGCGAAGATCTGACTGTCGCGACGGATTATGCTCCCCTCCAAATTTAGAATGACAAAGGAACTCGGGTCACGGATGCTGTTTCTGTTTGGAAAATCGCCTGCCCCACAATCAGTACAGAAGAGATCGAGAAGATCGCAGTCCTTGATGATCTATACAGGGCCAACTCCAACTATGAAATGCCTCCCGTCGGACTCGCTAGGATCCTAGGACTGCCATGCCCAAAGGACTTCAATGAATTCAGGGCAAAGATACCCCAATTCACCAAGGACAACCTTCTCATTGCTAGCCAGATGTTTAGCGAGCTGCCACAGTGCGAGGTCATACTGACCTTCACTGCGTTCTTCGCAGTAACAGATAGGGCGAACTTGGGTCTGATCGCTCATCCCTTTTGCAAATTCACCAGGCGCATTGCATGGCCGTTGAAAATGTCCACCAAAACAATGGCTCAAAAGACATGCCTGACTTCAAGATTGTTACCAAGGGCGTATCCTCCGAGTAGTCCAACAAGATGACGCATTCTGCAGGGGTGTCCATCTCAGCATCCGTTGGAATCAAGGCTATAGGTGGAGGTGTAGACGTCAGTCTCAACTACCAATTTACGTCGAAAACGTCCTCTTCGTACGGTGAATACTCAGAGTATACCCACGAGCAACGTTACACCATTGCACCGCGTACGGCTACTATACTCCTAAGTGAGCGTGTGTGGATGCAGGCTACGCGCAGTGATGATTCGGTGTCTCTACGGGAAATCAGTTTCACCTCCACCGATAATACGAACAGGGTTGAAGCTTCATTCGAATGAAAAGGTTCATGTCGGTGCTGCATCCCTCTTAATCGTTTGGATCGCCCCGGAGTATTTCACCATATTACAAATACAATCTCCTCACTTGGCTTCACAAATCCAGCCTTGCCTTGCGCATATTTTGCTAGTCATTACTAAATCGTACTGTCTATTCTATCCTCAAGGCTTTTGTTCCAATCTGTAAAACATGTCATGAAAGGGTTTAAACCTAGTGTTATTTAACATCTCTAACCCGAGCCGGCCTGTCCGACGCAGTCATAGATCCGCTAGTTCACGCCTTAACTTGACCAAAGATACATGTAAGCAGAATTCGGATGCTGGGGCTAGCATTCAAATTCTGTACTTAGTAAATTGAAACACGCGTACGCCAGCTACCCCAGCCAGCGCCGTGACAATGTGACCATCTCTACGTCTTGGTACCGGGTGTTTCAAACTGCGTGCACGGCTTACACTATGACAGCGTGACGATGACTGGCTGTAGGACAGTCCAGGTTCATCGCGCACATGAGCGAAAATTAAAAGACTTCCGTTTTCGATCGCCCGCAGCATAACCTGCTCTTGCAGCCTTCTTTCCTGCCCGCGCCTCCTGGTCCAGTAGACCACCCGTCACTGCCCTGTTCCACGTCGTATTTGTATACCTCTCTACCCTCGCATCAACCGCGTTCTCTACCATCACCCCTGCCTGCTCAACCAGACGATCAAGCTCATCAGACAACGCAACCAACTTCTCGTGAACGACATTATCGATCTCATCAACCAGCTCTTCTAGCGCGTCCTCTTTCCGTTGTTTTATATCCAACTTCTCCTCCGCCACAACTTCGAGGAATTCCTCGTCGGCTGCCAGACGGAGAGAGTTTGCATCATGCTGCATGTCGTTGAAAATGGTGCTGAGTTTCTTCTCAGCATGTTTGACGGCACGTTTTGTAAGGAGCGAGCGGAGTTGGTAGATGGATTTGAGTGAAGGCGTTACTGTTGGATGTATGTTTAGGTCGATAGAGGATGATGAGGATGGGGAAACCGAGCGGGAGCGGTCGATGAAGGAAGCAAACATGGCGGGGAAGAGGTTGAGCATTATGCTGCGGACGTTATTCTCTAACGCGCATGGGTCATTCATGTCAGTTTTGGGGTTAGGTGGACACGAATTCTCAGCATAAGAGCGGGAATGCGCTGACGCGGTGCACAAAGACGTCATACGTGGTGATTTATCAACCGTAGAGGACAAGTGCGCCGGACTGTTGGGCGGCGATGCCGTAGTAGCTCTCTCTGTTGGCGAACCTGGGGGTATGAACATACGCTTCGTTGGCGGCGATGGACTACTCGATACTGCAGGATCATGCATCAGCAAAAACAACACAGGTCTTGCGAGTACCTAGGAACACTCACCCCCTCGGAGCCGCTTGTGTGTCGCCTTTGTGTACGGAGGAGGCTCCTCTGATACCACCACGTTCTCCTCTTCGGGACTGAAAATAGTCCAGTCGGCCAATCGCCGTCCTCTCAGGTTCTTCTCATCAATAGGAAACCCGTGAAATCGCTCTGGCTGGCTGACAATACTCAGGAATGACTCGGCACGTTTACGATCCAACCAATTCAAGTCAAACACGATTTCGATGTGTTTGGATTTGATCAAGCCAACAAGGCACCGAGAGGGGGTCTGGAAGCTCGCCTTGGGCACGATGCTGCTGGACGCAGTAGGGCAGATGATTGGGCACGGTTTCTGAAGATGCAGTGACAAAACATGAATCTTAGAAAAGCCATTCCGTGCAACATAGGTTTCATCTCCGAGTGAGAGAACACGCTTTGGAATCTGGCATTTAGTTGTAGTAGGGAGCAGGTTATCAGCATCATAAATTAGATCAAACGGTTGTTTATCCTTGGTATCGTGTACGTGTGTGTTGTGTTGGAGTGAGAAGGTAGCATAGAGGCGGTCGTTGTCATATTTGACTTGAAAAGTGCATTGCAGGAATGAGGCATCTTCGGATGGAGAAGCGACGCACGCCAGTGCAGGAATGCCACCCTTGCGCAGGAGATTGTATGTCATGCTGTATTGATCGTATCTGGTCTATCTGCCCAGACAGCTCTCTAACACTAAAAGAACTATGCACTTACAACGTTACGCCCTTGCAACAAAACGCGTTGAAGCAAGATGCCCTCCCACCCGAGCTTTTGCACAGAGCAGCCCTGACTCAGCCGATGATTTCCTGACGCGTCTGAAGATACACCATACACTACACCTGTCTGGCTGCGAACCACCCCTCAGGCTGTTAGACAAGCCAGCACGTGGGCCGAGACCGAAACGCGCTGTGATTGCCAACGTCCCGAGGCCTTGTGAGATTCGCAAGGATGGTGGCCGGAGTATCAGTCTAGGCTGTGTTGGTGAACGGCGAGAACGAGCGACAAGTGAAAGAATAATCAAGAGAAGATCGAAAGCAGGGCAGGGCGAGCCAGCGCGTGAAGCTAGGACCGAAGCGCGCCGTGATCACCAGCGTCTGAGTGGAATTGCAATGGGATTTCGGTTGAAGTTTGGATCGCAGGTGACATGTAGGTGTAGCGGAGAGCGTGCGACGATGGAGACACTGTCGGTACTGATGAGTGGGTGTGGTGGTGGTGAGTGGTAGGTGGTAGGTGGCTGCAGGTTGCCTGGCGGAACCGCTGCACAATGCGATTATTTCTTGGCACGCGCTAACGACTCAGTCAGCGTATTTAGCCCCCTACATGCGTATATTAGCTGACTCAGTCCAAACGGCCCTTCGAGGTTTGCACGCATTCTAGATTCTCTTTCATTATCACACATTACAACACAACTACCCTGAGTCTCTATTGCGTTCGGAAACGCAAGAGTACAACCGAATCTTCCAATTCGATTAATGCGGGTGGGACGTGAACGCGAAAACTATGAATGGTTTGGCGGTCATGCAATATGAAGCCCGTCAATATAATGGTCGCATTGGAGCAGCCACATGCCATGACTCAACTCTAGAACCCAACGGCAGAAGACATGTAGTCGATCAGTCATGTGCAGTGTAATTCATAGTCGTGAGTAGCTGCTAGTTACACTCAGGAGCTATTTATTAATCAACTTTCTGGTACATTGTAAGATAAGAATCAAGGTCAAAGTTAAAGTCTTCGTTATATTTAATAAAATTTCAAAATGAAACTGTTTCTTCCTATGGAACTGGAGCTCTAGAAAAGCTGTCTATCATCTAGATTTTATGGGCCCTTCCTAATCCGATAAATCAGAAGGAGCAACAGCAGTCAAAGTAATCGGAATTTGACCCAAGCTCGTATCGTTCCAGTATAAAGCGTATAGATTCTGTCCAACGTCAAGCCCAGTCCACAAAGACTCTAGCTCCCCTTCAGATGTAACAAGTGTCGCCAATGACCCAAAGAGCCGAAAACCAGTGGTGATCCTGTTCCCAGAGGTTAAGTTGCCATTGATGAAGCCTACACGGCGGTCGGAGGTTTGAGCTGTTGGAACAGAAAATGTTGTGTTCAACCATGATGACTCCCCTGATGTAGTTGCGTTTGGTGAAGCGAACCATTCATTTTTGGAATCAGATGTAACTAGAGATATGTCAACATCGTGTGGATTGCCAATGAGTCTCTGCACTGTATACTTACATCGCACAATTGCAGGACTGGTAACGTTAAGCTCATCTACATCTGCAAGATATGCATACCCTTAAATTGGTTAGACCGTTTCTTGCAATCTTTATAGTTTGTGCAGGTTGCTTACCGTCCATGAAGACCAAAGGATTTCCACCAAATTGATGACTGTATCCAAACAGCGTGAAGTTCTGGGATCCCTGCCGGTTCTTCCCACCCAGTACAACGCATGGTAGCGCAAACAGAAGTGCGAGGGACTTGAAGGCCAACATAGTGAACAATGTTGCTCCTGAATTCGTCGTTCAGTGAGACGAACTGTTTTCGAGTTGTCGGGCGATGTGTGTCTTCTTTAAGGTTCTTGTGTGTTGAATGAGATTTGATTCTATAACTTGCAAAACTAACGTCATGCTTCTGTCCTAAGCAAGCATAAGTCGTCGTCATCAACCGGGCGCAGTCATTCTCATTTAGACATGGCCCACTATCTAGACGAACGGTGCACCGAGTCAGGGTGGTCGTACGGAAGATACATCGATTGTCGTGCAAGGCAAAAAGTCTTATACTTAGAGACACCAAGGCCTAAGAGGCTGGAACCGCTCCGAGGAGGTCTATACTGCGTTTATTTATCAGTATGATATCCCTTCCATAAATAATAATTCCTTATTCAATTACCCTGTATTTTCTCCTTGATTAGTGGACCTACTAACTTGGATCTTGCTAGCTGAAACGAAGCCCGACTAGCGGTCCACACGCATGATCAGGCCTATACCCACAGTCGAAAAATACCGGTTGCTCCCGCTACAGCTGTATAGATCTTCGTGGTATACTTATTAGGGGCCATTATAGATGCCCGATTCCGCGAGGTTAGGGTGTGGCCCAACATTCTTTTCTGAGAAACAACTATTTGATGTACTAGACGCGAAACGGGAATAAACAATACAAGTAATATTATCAGGCGCGAAGACTGAGACTATCGAAAGCTTCGACAAGTGCTTAGCACAGGTATCTCGATCTGACTCGACATCGCAGCCTTTGTTTATGCGTCACGTTGCTGGCAAAAACTCAACCAGGTGTAGTAGATTTGGCGATGACGAATATTATCTTCTACCTGGTAATAGCTTCGGATTAGAGCAACGAAATTCAACATGCAATCCGAGCTAGATGATGAGTTTGTCTTGGTCATAGCTTGGACGTCAAGCTTAAAGATTATCTCCATTACCACTTCTTGTGTCCATACTTTTTCATGAGTGCATCAATCCTTCAAGTTGTACAGATTTTGGATTGAGCTCCTTGTCGCGTCCATCTGCAAAATGCGCTTTCTAAGTGCCTTCGGTGCCGGCTGGATAATCGCCCACGTTTCAGCCATTAGTGTCCGTAATGACCTACAAGCGCATCGCCATCTTTCGCATAGCCACTCCTTAACTCAACGAGCAGCTTGCTCTGGCAATTCTGCTATGTCTCGTTCAACATGGTGCGACTATTCGATAGATACGGACTATGCAACGAGTAGGTCTCTCATCGACAGCAAGGAATGATATAAGTCTAATTGCAACGCTTTCTAGTTGTCCCTCATACTGGAGTAACCCGAGAATACTGGCTCGATTTGACAGAAGTAACGGTTGCACCCGATGGAGTTTCTCGGACAGCAATGGCTGTGAACGGAACCATCCCTGGTCCAACATTATTTGCCGACTGGGGCGATACGGTAGTTGTACACGTCAACAACAGACTCGAAACCTCACAGAATGGAACTAGTATCCACTGGCACGGCCTCCGGCAAAACGGTACAAATGATCAGGATGGAGTCTCATCTATCACACAATGCCCCACCGCCCCGGGAAGCTCGATGACATACACATGGCGAGCGACGCAGTACGGGAGCACTTGGTATCACTCACATTTTGCACTTCAAGCTTGGCAAGGTATTTTTGGCGGACTCATTATCAATGGACCAGCGACGGCAAATTATGACGAGGACCTAGGGATGTTATTTCTGAACGACTGGGATCACCAGGTGAGCATGTTCGACTTCTCAGTATCACTTAGGCCACTGGGGCATATACTGACGATAGTGTAGACAGTAGATGAACTTTACATGTCTGCTCAGAGTAGTGGGCCGCCGACTCTCGACAATGCTTTAATCAATGGTACAAATACGTACGAAGATGGCGGCCATCGTTATAACATATCGTTTACTCCAGGTTCATCATACAGAATACGTCTGGTAAACGGTGCTATTGATACCCATTTTAAGTTTATGATAGATAATCACACAATGACTGTGATTGCATCTGACTTGGTACCCATTCAGCCGTACAACACGACAGTCTTGGATATTGGTATAGGACAACGTTACGATGTGGGTCATAACTCAGTCTACTAAAGTGTGCAGCAAGAAACTGAGTATTTACAGATTATTGTCACAGCCGACCAAGCATCTGCTGCAGAAAACTTTTGGATGCGTGGTATTCCTCAGTCTGCCTGCTCTGGTGAGTATATCTTGGGAACTCAACTGTTCTAGTGACCCGCTAAACGGCTTTAGACGTCAAAAATGCGAATGATATCCGCGGTATCGTTTATTACGGTTCTTCGCCCTCTACACCCTCTTCATCAGCCTACAACTACACGGACGAATGTGGCGATGAAACAGACAACCTTGTTCCTTACGTTGCGAAAAAAGTTTCAGAACCAAACAGTACAAAAGCTGAGATTGCAACTGTTGGCTCTAATACCGAAGGTCTCTTCCGTTGGTACCTGAACTCTACGTCCATGGTAGCGAATTGGGCAGATCCAACGTTACTGCAGATACTGGACGGCAAGAATTCTTTTACAGAATCAAATGCTGTAATTGAGCTGCCTAATGCTGGAGAATGGGTATATGTCATAATCGAGACTTCCCTACCTGTTCCGCACCCTATACACCTTCACGGACACGATTTCTTTGTCTTAGCACAAGGCTCTGGTGCTTATACCTCCGAAATAACTCTGCAGCTTGATAATCCTCCAAGGAGAGATACAGCAATGCTTCCTGCCTCAGGGTACCTTGTGCTGGCATTCGAGATCGATAATCCTGGGGCTTGGCTGATGCATTGTCACATAGGTTGGCATACCTCGGAGGGATTTGCTTTGCAGTTTGTGGAACAATATGACAAAATTGGGAATATAACTCATGCAGATCAAGTTCAGCGAGATTGTAGTAACTGGGGAAGCTTCCAAATAAGCGCAAGGATCATCCAAGACGATTCTGGCGTTTAGATCGTTATGATCACGACCATATTTCATAGAAAAGAACTATTTTAGTAATGATGAACATTCTAAAAGACTTTCACTCGTAATCCCTTGGAGTCCTCAGGCATGACAGGGACAACAGTATCACTTGTAATCACCAAGTCAGCTGCGCTCGTTTCAAACAACTGCAACGTCCCAACGTCATCCTTCCCCTTGACCTGCTCGGTACCGTACACCCTGAAGAGCGCTGCCAATGTAAGATAGAGCTCTGCATAAGCAAGATTGATGCCCAGACACGCTCTTCCGCCCTTTCCAAACGACACCAGATAACGTTCGAGGTGGGCATTATCAATCCAGCGCTCGGGCTTGAACGCGTGCGAGTCCGGGAAAACACGTTCATCATGATGAACCAGGTTGCTAGTCATACTGAGAGGCGTTCCAGGCGGAATTCGCCATTCGCGCTGGTTGTCGTTGTCCTGGTAGATGAGTGTCTCATCAGGGCAGATGCGATGCAAGCGGTGTGAGATAGCGTGGCTTAGACGCACGCCTTCTTGGACCACACCAGTAAGGAAGGGAAGAGCCTCGAGTGCGATGAGATTGAGTGGCTGTGAGGGATCGGGGATTGCAGCCTCCAACTCAGTTTTGAGTTGACGCAGGATGTCAGGGGTGGCGAGCACAAAGTACGTCGACACGCCCAGCGCCCAGGCAGTAGTGATGGTTCCAGCAGCAACAACCACTTCACCCTCTTGCCAGAGACGATCTGTAGACTTGTCATAGTCCGAAAGCTTACTATTGAGAATTTCGTGAAAAATGGTACGGCGCGTCTTGTCGTAGGTGTGCATCTGATGTGCGTGCTGTATCTCAGCGACTTGACGCTTTACGCTAGTCTGAAGCTGCGAGTACGCGCCCATTGCGGGGCTCAATTTTAGCAGCAGTGAGTCAGGCAGCTTCTTCAGCAAGTCCATCAACCATGTGAAATGCTTCAGCACATGCCCGGCTTTGCCGCCCTGCAGCATTGCATCCCTGAACGACGGGTCAAAGTCTGGAGCTTCTAGACGGTGATCGCTTCTCCCAAAGGCATAGTCTTCAACGATGTCTGCAAAGCAAGATTAAAATCAATGTACGATCTATAGATTCAAGGAGGGTGTCCTACCATTGGTCAGTGCCGCGTAAGCATCATCCAGCTTTAGTGGTGAACCAGATTTGGCAAACTCCCGAAGACGCTCTAGCAGAATTCCCATGTTTCGGTCTATTAGCGGCTGCAGTGCTCGTACGCTCTGCTTGGAGAAATACGGCGAAAGAGACGCCCTGCGTACACGGTGCTCATCGTGCTTGAGTGTACCGATCAAGCTCTCATCGACACCAAAAGATCTGGTGATCCAATCCCACTTGTCGCGCTTGCGTCCACTGCCAGCATAAATTGTGTCATAGAAATCTGGGTCTGCGATGTGTATTTCGTCTGGGTTGATTCGGACGACAGGCCCTCCATGGCAGTTAGTGCAATTCGGCAGCAGTTGAACCAGAGTATTACGCATACCATATATTTTGTGAAGCCGGCCGATCTTGAAGGTATATTCAGGTTCAGCGATGACATCGTACCAGAACTCGTACCAATAGGTCCATGCCGCAAGCTTAGGTCCCGGGAAGTGCGCAATAGGGCTTAGAAAAAGGCGATACACTGTGACATAGCAGAAATAAAGGATAGAACCTACAAGCAGAGACACCAAGGTCACTGGCAGGTCTATTGTCATAAGCGCAGAGCCCAATATTGCCATTTCCAAAAGTTTTTGTGGTATTGGATGATGACAGCAAGCGAGATGGAAGTGAACAAGTCCGCAATGGAAATATAGGCGCTTGGATAAAATGTCAGCACCATGGGGGTTGGTGGCGCGGATTCCGCCGTAGTGCTTGCGCCCGAGAAGGATTTACCAACTAAACGCATTGCATGCAGTAGTATACTGTAAGGCCAGTTGCAGGGATCCGGGAACGAGTGGGCCGCTAATGCGGCGATTACATGCGCCACCCCGGTAGGTGAAGTACGTTGAGGTAAGCTCGCTAGGCTAACGCTGATAGGAAATTCTGTGTCCAGTACATATGTATGCAGTCCACCCTAGTAGCATTTACTTGCATCAAACACCAACCTAGCCTTGTCACTCTCACGGCAATTCGTCTTCGAATTTATCCCAACCCCGATGGCTATGGAGCGAGCAGATTTTGTGGGCCTTGTGTGGCTCTCAACACCCCTTCTACTATTGTTAGGCTCTAGCATGAAGCGAGGTCTCCGCTGGCTGCTTTTATTTCTCTTTTTGGTTCTTTGTCTCGTACTTGTTCTGTCATTTCCATACGGGTCTGACACAGCCAAGAACTATACGTTTGGCACAGGTTAGATCACACTATATTCTTAGTCAGTCATAGCTGCTGACAATGTCGTTATACAGTCTTTTACGTTGGCTTGACGAACTTCAATTTACTTATTTTAGAAGATCCTTACGTGGAGCATATACGAACTAGAAGGAACAGCAATGGGGAAAGAACTTTCTCTAATTTTAGCATGCTTTCTTCCCTCGAACGGGTTCGGTGGTGTTTTAGCAATGCCTATTCAACCCGGGGAATTGGTTGGAATTGGGGCACTGCACGCCTTCCATTAGGCCCCCCACCAGGCTTATCTAAGACGTCCTTTTCCAAATTAACGATGAAGAGAATTTTGGAGCAATACGTCATTCACGATATTGCAGCAGCTCTTCTTCTCTGGTTAACCGAAGGGGGACGGAAGAGTATACTCGACATGGATTTTGTTCTGCGAAGTTTGGCGACCGGTTGCTGGTGGGCATCAACAATTGCGCCAATGGACATTGTCTACCATGTTGTGTGTTTGGTCGGTGTCACATCTGGCCTTTTCTGGAATGTTATCGAAGAGGCTCACCCTCTCAAAGGGCCATGGGCTGTATGCTACACTTTGAACAATTTCTGGAATCGCACATGGCACCAAAACTTCCGCAGAGCGCTCCAAGTCCCAAGCCGCTTTGTCGCCAGGCACATCGTATGTACTCCGAAAGGGACATTGATGAGTCGTCAGGTCCAGTCCTACATGGCATTTACTATCTCTGGGCTTTATCATTGGGTAGCTGCAAAGATGGTCCTTCCATCTCAGAATTTTGCGAAAACTCTGATCTTCTTTGCATCCATGCCGACTATCATGTTACTGGAGGACGTGACTATCTCCTTTGCTCAAAAACAGCTCGGATGTCGGAGCAAACAATGGCGTCTCTTGGGATACGTATGGACTTTTTTCATTCTAACCTCACTAGGCGCAGGATTTGTGGATGACTGCGTCAAAAATGGTCTTGTGACCTCTTTTCCGGCGCTTCCATTCTCTCCTACGTATGCTATCTTGAATTTCAAAGTCCGTAGCGAACGCTAGTATGTTCCAGGCTATATGAAATAATCCTTTGAGAAAGACATCTTTGCACTCTTTTTCATCCTTTCTATCATCCCACGGAGGACGCATCTTGGACATTAATAGTAAATCAATTAATCTTGTGCCCCCCAGGTACTAGCTCAGTGAACACATTTCCTGGGTCATAAATCGCTCGTACCTTCTTCAAAAACTCAATATTATCCTTCCCGTAGCTTTCGATGGGATCTTGGTCTAATGCAGCGTAGTTCATGTACTTGAAAGGGTGATACAGCCCTCTTTCCTTAGCAGCTGAAACAGAATGCTCTAGCATTGCTTTGATACCGTCGATGACCATTTTGTCATCAGATTCGTAAGACCATTCCCATCCGAAAGAACAGACTGTTGAGTGATGATTGTCAGCGCCACCGGAGGAAGAATGCATGGCGATACTTACCAACCAAAGGTGCATCAGAATCACGGAGGCCCATGATATTACCTCCTCGTGTCTCTTGGGCTCTCAGAAGGTTTTGCGTTAGTGGTTGGATTCCCAGCATTGGCGCAAATTGCTGGTCCTTATGCAAACCGTTATCCAACGCCTTTTGCACTTGCTCTTCGAAAATCTCGACCATAAGCGTTAACAATGCTGCATCGACAGTGAAAGTTGCTGTTGTAAAACGGCTTCGCATGCCAGCAGGCTCTGATTGGTTTAGTTCATCCGCGAGGTCCGACACCGAAGTCAGTCTGGCTGTGCTAACAATCTTCGCCGTACCATACACCTCCACATCATCCTTGAACTGGGTAAAGATAGAAGGCTCGGTCCTTCCTAGAGCATCATACTGCCCTACAGCCCAGGCAAAGTTTCCTTGCTTGTAACCCAAGCCAGCAAACAGTGATACGTGTGGATCGGACGGAGCGTTGTGTGCAAACTTGACAAAACCATGAGTGAGAGCGGATGTTACCGATGGCTGGAATGGCCACACGTGCAATCCTCCCCACATAGGACCCTGCTGGAATACATCAATGTCAAAGTGAGTGACAACGCCAAAGCTGTTTCCGCCACCGCGCAAAGCGCGGTAGAGGTCTGGGTTTGACGTGTTGGAAGCAATTGCAAGAGTACCATTTGCAAGAACCACCTAGAAGGACATTAGTTTGCGCTCCATTTGCAGTATTCATGATGTTACCTCGTAATTACGGACATTGTCACAAGCCCAGCCATGTAGACCGGAGAAGTGGCTGAGTCCTCCACCCAACAGCAGTCCGCCAACACCAACTCCAGTGAGTCGGCCGCCCACAACGGTTCTGTTTGATTTCTCAAGTTCTTTATAAACGTCACCCCATTTAGCTCCTGCACCGACTCTGACCAGGCCTTCACTCTCGTGCAGTTCGACATTGCTCAACCCTGCCATATTGACAGTGATGCCGCCATCAATGTTGCTTGCACCATGAATATCTGAGTGCCCGCCACCACGAACAGCAAATGGGCAACTCGTGCTGCGGGAGACAGATATGACGGTGGCAACGTCTTGCGGAGAGTAGACATGAATAAGACAAGCTGGTTGGGTAGATTGCTGCTGCTGTGCCCAGAAGAGTGATGCCACAGAGGATCCATTCCCAACTGTGGTATAATGCCTATAATCGGACACATGACTGGCACCTAGCTCAACAGAAAGTGTTTCGGAAAGAAGGATGCACTACATGCGTTAGAAACTGGCTCTATCATGCTGAGCACTTATCGTAAACACACTGCGTCGTGGCAAGACCCATAATCTGCTGTTATGGCTTTGCTGCTGCCAATGGAAGCATAGATGGCATACAGCCAAGATAGGGTTGCTAGTCGCCGCATTTCCGTATAACCAATAGTGAAGAATAAGGTATTTGAGTCACCAAGTCTGCACCAGTGCTGGGAATAAGATATCCTGGATACTGAAATATGTAAGGCCACCCAACTGCTGATTAGAATAAAGGGATGTAGAACCATGTAGGGGCTAAAAGAGGTCCCTAGACTAAAGCGGGACTGTTGTTGCGAGATGACATGAATTGCGAACGACTCCCTGCATGGGTTTACAAGGTACCCACTTCCACAGGCTAGGTGCTGAAAGATGCACGCACTATGCTTATACATGCATACGATAGTAGGGATTAATCACCGAGGCATGTGGTACCCGTCATCAAGAAGATGTTTCATTGGTCTAGGTTTCCAATCAAGATAAAAAAGAGACAAAAAGGTAGGATTTCGTTCCCAAATCGTATGACCCATTATTAGTGCGATTAGGCAAAGCGACCCGCATGGGGTGTGGCTAGCGGGATAGCAAGACCCCCGGGGGATTATTTGCTAGGGCTTACCTCACCAATCCTCGCAATTCCTTTGACGCTGAGCTTTACGAGGCACAACCGCAGCATTGGGTTCGTCTCACCCGTTTGTTGCTCAAGCCGGTTAATCTCGAATTCCAAGTCGCGTTCCATATCCATCAGGCAAGCGATCGTTTTGTCGAACGCTCCACTCTTTTTCAGGCAAGCAGTCAGATGCTGTTTGCTCTCTCTCGACAAGGGACATGCGTTGACGGTCGCAACCGTAGGGCGTTGCCGGAATATACCAAGAAAATGGCCACGGTATTCCGGATGATTTTCCAAGCAGTAGACAACTGGGTACGAAAATTTCCCTTCGTCAAGATCCTCGCAAAGCCCTTTCTGTGCTGTGTAATCTTGGAAGTTCATGTAGTCATCACGAATCTGAAAAAATCGGCCGAACAATAGTGTTAGTCTGTGAAAATCAGGCTGCGGTGTCACCTCGCTCTCTGCCTGCATGATCCGGAGCAACATGCGAAACATGCCACCGGTCTTGTGGTCGATCATATTGACGTACTCGGCTTCACTTGGACACGCGAGGTTGTGTTTCCAGTATAGGTCCCAGCTCTGGCCTAGATACAGGCCCTCGAGTTCTTCAAGGACTGCAACCAAGGCATTTGGGCTTAGATTTTGCGCGACTTCCTGCACAGCGCGTACGAACATAAAGTTCGCGGCATTGATTGATTGAGACTGCCCAAATAGGATATGTGTCGATGGGTAGCCTCTTCGTAGTGGTGAATTATCTTCCAGGTCGTCAAGGATAAGTGAAGCATTATGCAAAGTGTTGATGACAGACATGATCGAGTCTAGCCGTTCAGACGGCACGTGGAGCCATGTGTTGAGAGCTTCTATGAGCGTGCTCCGGACGCCTTTTGAAGGCATGTTGGAGACGTACTTCGAGGGTGCCTCCAGTGCAAGTCCCGACGGTTTGTAAAATGGGTAGCTTGACACCTCTGAGAGTGAAGGCTCATCATCGCTGGGCTGAGAACCAAAGAAGCTCGAGTCTTTTCTCTTCTTGAAGGGTGCTTCCTGCATACTGATCGTTGCGCCATGTGATGTTTTTCTTTTAGCCCCGTTATGACTCTGTGAAATCATATCCTTCCACGCATTCTGTCTGGGGCAAGCCGAGCACCAGTAGTGATTTCCTGAGACAGCTAGCCCAGCGCAGTCGATCCAACGTTTCAACTTCAATGATATGTCAGGATGATTCTTGTAAAGATCATCACGACGCTGACAGAAATCGCGCTCAGCGGCGATGATCATGCGTTTGACCTCCTCTTTTGCATGGTCGATTGAGAGTCCCTTCGTCCGGATGAACAGGTCAACAGCACTGACAATCCTCTTTGATTGACCGGATTGGAGTTCTCTATACTCGCGTTCCCAGCTGAAATAATCATTTGCTAGGAGAAGTCCTTCAGTTGCTGCGTCAATAATTGGCTGTACGAGCGCTTCTTCTGCTTCCGATATGGACATTCCGAGGCTGAACTGCAGCATCGGCCAGAAGACTCTGTTAAAGATAAGTCAAAATTTTTCCAACAACGCGACTGAGTCTCTTACAGCATTCCACCATTGTCGCTTCGATATTTCAAATATTCTTCCATAGTCTGCGCTTCCTTATCGCTGTTCCTCTCGCTAATAGCGAGCCAGACATCGCGGAACGCCGCGAGCATCTTCAGGCCCAATTCTCGGTCAAGGCTAATACACTCAAGCATACACTGGGAGACAAGCTTCTTAGTTTTCATCGCCCTTGAATCTGGCGCAACGCTGCTGATGTCACTAGGATCTAAAGCAGCGCAGAGTTCACCATGTTCGGCTTGCGCGTCTTCAATGCTTAAGCCTTCACCACCGTCTGGACTCATGTTAGAATTGCCGAGATAACCTGAAGCAGATTCAAATACCATCATGAATCAAGCCCAAGTCAGAGAGATACGCCAAGACCCCCAACCTCTCAGGGATCGCTTCAGGATAGATCAAGGACGACCAGTTTCCCACTGGTGAGAATGAGAAATGAGTAGACTGTTCTCGGCCATCTCTCATCTCTCTGGCCCAGTCTTGTACAAAACGACGACTTGCTGCATCAGCTAAGTCATCTCGAGGATGAATACGGATAGGGAGTGTCGTGAAGCATCCAGTCTGTCGAGACTCCTCGGAGCAAATCAGTTTGGACTGATATGAAAGCTGCTCCATTTTGCGACAGTTCTTCAAAAAATATGGCTAAAAGAGTAGATGTGGAGATACTGGTTGGCTGTACGAAGCATCGAAAGAAAGCATTTGTACTCAGTCTGTTTGGGATAAAAACATGTGATCATGGATCCAATTCGCTCTAATTCGTCCACTTTTTCTCCGTCTAGCGCTGCACTCAGCCTGGGCACAGCACCCATCACATCGGGAAAAGTTTTTTTTTGAAATATTAATTGTTGGAACTATGGGTGCTGCTTATTCGTGCACTCTTCGTACCAACCAACAAGCGTTTCTATTCGCAGTGCATGCATCTGTATCTACTGATTCAGCTCCGTAGTCTGCTGCATCGTGGGCGCATGTTGGGCCGCTGTAGCACGAAATCTTACTAGTCTTGTTCTAAACAGCGCTTACTGTGCAGTATATATGAGTGGATTATGTTTTTCCGCCAACAATTTACTGCGCCGTCCAAAAGTCTTTTGGAGGATTCTTCTCAGTAGAGCTACTGGTAGTATTCCCCGCTTATTTCCTACATGACGACTATCTAACGCGTGCTGTTTAGTGTAGTGTACGGATTCTGAACATGATACCAAACAGGTTGAGGCAGTCAGTATATGCCTTTAGTTTCTCATCCGAGTTCTTTCATCACTGGAGCAATACATCGCTGCATGGGCGGTATCATTGTTGTGGATACACAGAGATAGGGCGCTAGCTGCGTTGGTGTACAATGGCGCGCATGCAGAGTCGCGGAGCCAGGGTCCGATTTCCCACCATTTCCCCCCACGCGGTGGCGCCCATGAATCCTACGCTACTGCCAAGCTGCCGTTTTTCTGGAAGGAGCGAGCTGCTTTAGCGTCGTCATCCGGATAATAGAAAACGGTCATGATCAGCCCTCCCGCACTAGGATCATGCATGCTTCTGCGCCACCAACTCGCGTCTTGAATGATAACGTGCATTTTAACTTTGTGAGGCTTCATGATCCGAACCTAGAAGACAGCGAACCGAGCAAACCTTGGCTAGGATTCGCCTTGGCATGTATGCAGTACTCTTGGCCAGCTATGCAGGATGCAATCCAATCAATCATTTATCCCATGAAACGACAAACAATTCCTCAACACCAAGGTCGAGCCTCAGTCCAAGGATTACGATAGTCACAATGGCAGTAATTTCTTTCTTACAGGAGTTGAGCATAGGCCAGCAGATTGGCACAGCAGCAGCGATTGTAGGTTCTTACACTCTCATTATTCAGAACGTTCGTGACGTACTACTAACAGTATGGCTTTTGTAGTTCATCTTCGTTTTGACATCAATTGTAGTCTATGGATGCTACCTCCACCCACTTTCCCACGTTCCAGGCCCCTTCCTGGCCAAGTTCTCTCCGGTGGGTCCCTCATGATCACATGGTTTGCAAAAATTCTGAGTAAGAAAGATATGGGGTATGAGAGCTTTGTATCGTATGAAATTCAATTCAGAACTCCAGGCTCTCCACGAGAAATATGGCAAGATCCCTCGAGGTGGTTGTTATTCAGGTAGCTAGGCTAATCTCAAGCAGGGCCTGTTGTACGAGTGGCACCAAATGAAGTGTCTTTTGCGACGCTCGAAGCAGAAACAGCGATATATGCAAACCAAGAAGATGGCCGTTTTTCCAAAGCTGGAACGTTCTTGACTCTTTTCTCAGACCTCGTCCTGAACGCCCCTACTCTCATTACGATTCCGGATCCAGCGCTTCATAAGAGACTGCATAGAGTCATTCAGCAGGCCTTCACACCTCAAGCACTCGCAAGCCAGGAACCAATCCAGAAGCTGCACATCGAGAAGGCCATACCCGATTTCGACGAAACTGCTGAGAAGGGTTACAATATAGATCTTGCTGACAAACTGGAGACAATGTTCTGGGAGATAATTGGTGACCTTGCTTTTGGAGAGCCATTGATGGCTGGAAAACGCCGTAAGCTGTACACAAATAACTCAAGGAGTAATCATAAACTGACTTTTTCCCAAGCAACATACGAAACACTGAAGCAGTTAGGTAAAGGATCGATGCCTATGGTGGAAGCCTTAAGCTTCATGCTTGTCATGCCCGGAGTAGCCCCAACACTGGAGATGGCTAGAAGCTTCCTTTCAGCAATGCCAATGTCCTCTCAGCTTTCAAAGCTTGTGCCATCCAAAAAACTACGCGAGTGAGTAGATCGAGTCGAACTCTATATGCCATTATGATGACATCTATTTAGTTGCATTGAAAGGAAAGATGGCAGGGAGGACTTCCTTTCGGCCATAATGGGTAGTGAAAAACAAGGCTTAACGCTAGACGCGGATGCGTTCTTTAGCAATGCAATGGGCTTAACGTATGTCGCATCTTCCCCCTCATGACGTATCCTTTACTGATAGCGCCAAGACTCGCTGGGTATCAAACTACAGCTACGACATTAGCTTCTACATTCTATCACATCCTGCGCTACACAGACGCGTACAAAACTCTTTGCACTGAAATACGCTCTGCTTTCAACAACGAAGCCGATATCACAGGTGAAAGGCTTGCACGTTTACCATTTCTTAATGCCTGCATTCGCGAGACCTTGCGCTTGCTTCCGCCAGCAAACGGGAAAACAGCGCAACGCGCCGCCCCTTCGTGTACTATAGCAGACACATATATACCAGCAGGTACCATTGTCTCGGCTGACTTGTATACGATTCAAAGGTCGGAAAAGTATTTCGTCGACCCGGCCCGCTTCCACCCAGAAAGATGGTTAGAGGGCGCGGAGAAGAACGGGTTCAATGGAGATAACAAGTCTGCTAGTCGTCCTTTTTTGATTGGAAGCCGAGCGTGCATCGGTAGACATATGGCTCAACAGAGCATACGGCTCATCATGGCGACATTGTTATGGAGATATGACTTCGAGCTGCTAGATCGGGACGCATTCATTTGGGAGCGCGATGCTGGCAGTAGTCTCATTTATACTGATTACAAACTCCCGGTGCATGTTAAAAGAGTTCAATAGAAGAAGAAAAATACCTCGACTGTTTCATGTCGAGATATTTGAACTTCTACTGAGGATTACCTGCGATACTTTAGAAGTATTTTCATATCGCTCCTTCATCGAGAATAGTCGGCAAAGCCTCAATCAATGAGTCATAACCAAGGGAAAGCTCGACTAAATATTCAATGTGATATTCTGAATATGTTTGAGTATTGATGACTAAAGAAGTAACGAAGTCGCCTCATTTCCGAATCTTGTTGCATGATTGGCAATGTGAGAATATATAAGAACTTCAATTTTCGACGTGTTTGACAATTGTGAACCGGCCAACCAATACGGTGTGTATGTCTCAGATTTCTCGCTCAGATGTATCGCAGATAGAAATAGCTTTGGGATTGGGTTTGGCTTGGTTATAATAAAGAAAAAGGTTATTGCTACTATCACTACTCTACAGCACGATATGCCCCATTCCTTGCTTTATCTTGTAAGCCATTTTTGACTTCTGATCGTTAGCAATGCAATTATAGATGACCAGCTAATAAAACTCGCGTGAAAAAGAATGGCGAGCCATCCATACTGTAATCGCCAAGGAAGTCGCGCTTTTCGACTAAATATCGAAAGCCGATCTTTTTCTATGAACTGAGAGGCCATCCTGAAATCATCTTTCTGAAGCGGCATTTGGTACTGCTTTGATGAATCTGTCCTGTTCAATCTCCTTATTCCTTTCTCCTCTTCTTCTTCTGTAGCTTTTCCTTGGCCTCTTCGATCATCGCTACAATCAGCGAAAAAAAGTAGAGAACGAAAGCCCGATAGCAGTAGTGTGATGAGACAACCTATCAGAATTGCATCAGGGCGAGAGATAGCCATGTATATCTGAGCGTATAAGGCTAAGGGGAACAAACAGTTGCCCACAGCAGTTGAGGTGAGATTGATGAGCAAGAATAAGCACCCTATACTCGTCCTTGACGTAGAGTCCGAATCTGAAGTACGTTGAGAATGCTTCGCCTCCTCGTATATGTCAACATAAAAGTGGCTTATAGTGTTGACCTTGAAATCCTTGAGAAGCTGGGTACCAAGTTGTGTGAGAATGGTCGGCCAGGTTATCTTAGAGAAGCTTGACAGCAAGTACACGTACGAACTTCGTTCCCAACGCGTGTACATCAGGAATGCTCGAGTAGCATCTTCTGGCGCAATAGTGTGGACAACAGCATTACTCTGGTACACCGTTCTCCAACCAGCATACAGTAAACCGAGCGTTATTTCAATATCCTCTCCATGCTTGATTGGCGTACCCATAAAGGTGGTTTCGCGAAGGCTTGCAAGGAATGGTTTGATTGCGATTGTGCGATATGCTGAAAGCGCACCTGGAAGGATCGTAACAGCGCCACATGCCTGCGATTGTGCTGCTCGAGGAATGTTTCCGCTGGTCTCGAACAGTATATCGAGCAATCGGGGAATGGTCTTTTGGCCCACGTTTAGGACACTCAGATGGCCTGCCACACCTCCGACCCGACTGTCAAGCACTAACGGTGCTATCAATCGAGATATTGAGTTGCGTTCCAATACGCTGTCTGAATCTAGGGAGATGATGACATCACCGGATGCTAGAGAAAAGCCAGAGTGTATCGCGAATCGTTTGCCAAGATTTCGCTCGTGTCGAATAGTTCGATAGGAAACTGCAATTTTGGCGTATGCAGTTGCGGCAGCGGTAATGTGCTTCCACGTGTCGTCTGTAGAGCCATCGTCTACTACAACAACTTCCAATCGATCTTTGGGATAAGAAGACTGTAGGATAGAATGTAACGAATGACGGATGAAGTACGACTCGTTATATACAGGTATGACAACAGTGACGTTTGGAAACGTAGTCTCATCAGTCGGTGCAGGGACAGGCTCGTATGCAACCCACCACAAGATGGTCCAGATGTAGTCAACGACAGTTATAACGAATACAGCGATGCATAATCGTCGAACTAGGTCTGGGAAGATGTCCCATGGATTTCCATAGTTGGTGAATATGTGCATACAGAGCCATGTCAACAATGAGCCAAGTGCGCTCAAGAGACCGTACACATATCGGGAACGCATACTGGAAGGTTGAGAATGTTAGAGAAGAAGGGATAGAATGAGGGTAAAAAAGAGTAGAGTAGTTGTGTTATCATCAGGACGAAGCAGGAGACCCATTGCCTGGCGAAATGTTACATTGGTTTCACGTCATGTGGACAAGAATCGGCCCTATGCACTAGTTACCTGATAATACTTCATCATTCTCCTGCTACATCCGTGCCTAGAATCTTTGCCAATGTATAGATTGACTGATTAGGCCTTGAGTAGATTAAATCGTCCGATATCTTATATGCCGCAAGGTGTTCTCGTATGGTCACTTGTTCTGGAGCAAGGAAGGATAGGACTATGATTAGCTTCTAGGCTATATAGCCTACTTTGCGATAGGAAACAATACGAGTGTCCTCTGTTCAGTTAATCACCGACAAGTTCTAGATCCTGGAGTAAAGGACCGATACACAGCACTACATCTAAATATGTTTCTTTGTGGCAAGGAATCGGCAATATCGATATCGCCGATTTTGGGCTATGGTTCAGTCCTTGATATTTGGGTGTCTGTCGAAAGCAAGAAGAAGTGGTAGAGAATCTATAAACTACCAAACCTAAAATTAAGTCAGCAGGTGATGGAAGATTCCTCAAGTTGCGATATAAATCCCATAAAAAAGAACATAGATACACAGAGCGACCGAAACCTCTCAACATTTCTTAGGCACTTCTTAGATTCACTGGAACATGGAACATAAGCAACTTGATTTCTAATAATAGTTAATGTGCTCATGATCTAATGATTCCCAATTAAATGATTCGTGTCATGGCACCTACTGTGTAACATCGAAGTCTAGATCACGATATAGCCAGACTTTGATGTGTTGGCCGCGTGATCGTAGTCAGGTCTCGCCGGCTTGAGTATGTCCTTCCTCAAGCATCAGGTTCGTAATGGTATAGTGTACCAGGATTACTTCGGTCCGCAATTTGATTGAATGTGAGACTATGGTAACGGAGAGCTGGATTAACGGTATTAGCTGGGACAAGTAGAGCAAAGATTGAAAGTTATAAGAATACATAAATGTGTGAAATCTGGAGACTTCATTCTTCATTCCATCATCTCAAGCCGAAGTTACTTTTATCAAGCACACAAACATCTATCAAAAATGCTTTCCATCCTCGTCCTCACTACTGCCTTTGCTGCTACGGTACTAGGTAACCCCTACAACCAGCCGCCCACGCCTATTGTGACTCCTGCGCCTGAATTGGTAATAAAATTCATTCGAAATTTGAGTTCATGAGATGCTAATCTATTATTCCGTTCATTTAGGTTGCACGTCAATGCGCTGGCATCGCTACCCACGTTGTCGCACAAGGAGAAACACTTTCAAGAATTGCTGCTAATCTCGGGGTTGGCGTTTGCAATATTGCTGCATCGAACCACATCGGAAACATTAACACCATCTACGCATCGCAAACCCTGACCGTAAGAGCTTCTGGATGCGAGCCTGTTAACAACGGACCTGGATGCACGCTTCTAGCCAAGCCTGCAGCCGTCCATATAGCTGTTGCTGGGGATACCTTCTGGAAACTAGCTGTTTCTCAGGGTATACCATTGCCTTCCATTGTTGGTGCAAACCCAGCTATTGCAAGCGATGCAATCCCTATCGGAGCAGCGATAGTTATTCCAATAGCACTCTAGATAGTCAATCTTGACATATTGTGGATTGAGCTACAGGGAAAGAAACCGAGAAAGTTATGGAGCAGGGGAAAGAGGAGCAGAGGTTGGGTCAGAGCGGGTCGGGTAGTGGTGGGTCCACAGCAGGGCCATAAACCAGCTCTTGAGAGCTGGTCTCAGGACTTGGCGTACGACAACGGACTACATAGCTAAATTCATCCTACATTAATGTGAAAACCGCTGGACTAGCGCGTGAATTCAGCTTTTTCATACAGGTGGTTTAATAGTGCACCAGTGTATTTCTACAAATATTGCTATTTTTCTTGTCACTAATAACAATTGGTGAGACAGGAGCGCCTAGCCAGGTGCGGAAGACTACAAGCGGCCAGTGCGCGTATTAGTATTACCGATGGGAGCAGTGCCGTTGGGCGGAGGACCACCACTTAGGGAACTGAATTCCTCATCTTGAACGCCACGCTCAGAAGTATAGTAAATCGTCAGGCTGATATCGTGCGACCATGTAACATCTATACCGAAAGCAATCCAAGCGAATATGCCATAGGATAAATTGTCGCCGAGTAAGACCTATTTCAAAACAGCGATAACCTGAACAGCTTCTTCAGCTAGGATGTCATCATCGGCATTTGTCGTGAGCTCTTGTGTATTCCTGCTATACGGCTCCTGCGGCTCAAAGAGCAAGATAAGGTCCCGGTCGAAGTATACCTGGCGGACGTGGACGATGTTGCTACCTCTTAGAGTACTTTTGGCGTTCAAAGAAGTACCGGAACGAACGAGAACATGTACACGTGTCTGCTTATATGTAAGCGTTTGATGGCAGGAGAAGAAATGGACTCAATCCTACCGTGCGACCAATATAATGGCCTGGAAACACGGCGTTAAAGTTAATAACAACATCATCGTCAGAAAGACTGATAGTTCGGGGAAAGGTGGCTTTCAGGTTAGGTTTATTGGAAGAATCGCCGTTGCCGTTCGTGACGATACCAGAGTATGCATCAAAGTTACAATGCCATGCTTCAAGACAAATCTGAGGAATTGGTTCGCAAGTGTCTACGATGATGATTTGGATATCGGCAGTGAGGGGTACACCTGGCTCGCCGTTGGTCATGTTCCGGTGGATCAACTTTTCGGAGACCTATTAGTGACCCTGAGTCACCTCTGGGGAAAGAATCCAGATGTTGTCGCTGAGCAAAGACTTGACAGGTCTGTATCAGCATTGAAGCCATTGATATTGGACTTATGGTTTGTGGGAAACATGATCTCAAGATCACGGACTTAGAGTCATGGTTTCGATAGGATGAATCGATGTTAACGTTCAGCCTCAAAACGGTGCACTAGAAAATCAATAGTACTAACCAGCGCTCTCTCTGGGTATTTCTTGACCAAGAAGCGACGAAAATTATGCATATCAACATCGTTACCTCTTGCTTCTAGCTGATTCGAACAATGAGCCAGAAAGCGTTTGTGTATGCTCAGACACGCACTGCGTTCTGCTGTTTCCTCTTTCATCTCAGTCTTACTCCGACCGGGATGCGCGGAGAGGCTCCAATTTGGATAATTCTATATTTATTTTATGAAGACAGTTACATAGCTATGGTAAGCAGAGCTATATGTGATATACGCCTATTTACCGCATGACAAGATGAAAAGCAATCACTTGGTTGTTATCCCGCGAGACATATGGTAACTAAATTTTGGTCATCGGTGCTTACGCTCATCTTCTATCCAACCTTTTGGTTATAGCATGCGACTATCCACGCTGATTATACGTATCGCTTATGAATTGCCACATCGTCCCAATATACCAGAGGGGCTCTCCTCACGTATCAAGAAACAGTTCGACTGTCATTGTGGCCGCGTCTACAATATCATGATTGCCGGAAAGTTTGCCTTGTAGTTTTATTTATGCGTTCTACAAATGTGGCGAATGCTCTGGATCTCTCCTGTTTAGTAGTGTGACGGAGGAATGAGACTTCTAGTTGTTTGTTGATTGAGCAACAGCAATTTCCCGCATGTGTTGGTAGATGCCTACTGCTTCCTCCTCGACTATGTGCGTAGAGGTTCCTTGGTTGAGGACGCTCTTATGAGTTAATCCGTCCCTTGGTCAAGCCATCTCATTGGTCATACTTGCAGTCATTGCTTGCTATAACTATAGTTGCGATTATGTGGAGGCGCTAAAGCATGACAAGTGATACATCACGGCCTCGCCTTCCGTGCTTACAATATGCAAGAATAGGGTGAGACTGTCGTTTATGAGAAGTGGGTCGATGCTCATGAACAAATAGTATTTATCTTCATCGTCCCAACATGTGTAAGCTAGAAACTTGACGGAAAAGTCCAGCACCACGGCGCTCCGCATTCGAGACAATACATATTGCTACCTAACATCACCTAGAAGCGGGAAGTTCATATGTTGTAACGAGAATAGGCCCTCATTGATTCTGCATATCCATAATCTTGACTCGGGACTACGGTGCTTGCAGCGGCCACAACTTATACCTCCTAGATCTCTGCAAAATGCTACTTTAAAATCATCACTAAGCTTAGAATTTTATTGCAAGAATTCCGGGATAGAATATCTCGTTTTTCCTGGCTTTTTTCTCTGAGATTGGTGTTTCTCACCTGCGGTAAAGTCATTTCCACATCCAACGCAGATTTTCCAATAAAGTTGGCCACCTGAGCAACACTGGCTGTCCTACTCCGTGAAACTGGAACCTACGCCGAAAGAACCGGATGTGGGCTTTGACGCGGGTCAGATCTAATGGAACAGAGCTACTTTACCGGTACCAGAGTAAAAGGATGCTCGACGCTGAAGCATCACTTTGATAACTGAGCTCCTCTGTCACCCAATCTCTCACCCACCACGGCTTGCTCTAGTGCCGCGCCTCAAACCCTAGCTGCGCTTGCACAATGAACGGCATTTCAAAGCTTAGAGACATTAGTAGCCTGTCATCAAAGATTTGCGGCGTGATGGGACCCCTGGCACATGGACGGGATATTGACAACGATGACGAGACTCACCAGGTTGTCGCATTACGAAATCTACTTTGCTACATGGCAGAATTTATGTGTGTCGGTCCACTAGCAAAGGGACGATATAGGCTGGGGTAGAGAGTAAGAGCTACACTATATAGAGTCGTAATTACTTAGAACAGCGCAGTATTTTTCTGTAATAGGTCATCCGAAGAAGGGCCTAATTATTATTCTAGCGTCTCCATAGTACAAAACTTGAGACATGTAGCACAGTATAAGTTTACGCGTCCGCATCTAGTGACGATGCAGAGATGGACCCGATAGGACCCTGGCATTGCCTAGCAAGACCAAGTTGCGCGGCGCGGACTAGACCGTGCGCAAAGCCTTCAATGGATGGGCGTAAGAATTTTCTGATCGCGAAAAGAATTACGTACTTGAACAACCATGACAATGAAAGTGACGAGTGGTCATCTGATGTCCGCTGTGACGCCTGTATCGTCATCGATGACGCTGCCCTGGCTTGGCTACTCAATACGGCTGGTTGTATTCTCAACAAGATTCTCAGCCCTGAACTTAGTCCATGGGTTGTTGTGGTTGATACAAAAGACCCGACAATCATGCCTTAAAAAGATAGTGGGTCCTACATGCGCTTAACGAGAGCGTATGAATGCGTTCTGTGTGGCCCCTTCAGACGATCTCGGCTGTCAATCTTTGGGTAGGCTGGGTCCCGTTCGGGCATACAACGGTCAGACTCCACTTTACAAACGACATAGGAAGGCGAAGTTCGTTGATCCTGTTGGTAGAGTCCATGGACGATACAAATTTCTCAAAGGCATGCCAGAGAGAGACAGAAGTTGCGAGGGTGATGTTAGAGGAGGTCGAGTTGGTTTTGAGTAATGTGGATGACTCTTGCATCGAGGTGGCTGCCCCTATCACTCTACTGAAGGATGTTTTAATGCCATCGTCCTGACGGTCAATCAGCTATGTACACAACAACCTGGCTACCCGCTCATGTGGCCGCTGGCGGATATCTCTTCCCAATTATCAAACCTGGCATCAGTCGGGAAACAGGTTTTACCATCATCATATCGATGAGATTAGTAAAAAGAAAATAGCCCCTGTTTCTATAGCTGTGTGACAGGACTACTTTTCCTTCTGTCAAGCGACACTGGGTGACCAATACTATTATGCAGTCAAAGCTGGAATGATGGGGTAGCGGAATGGATAATACGATGCGATAGCGACTTGAAAAATGTGCGAAAGGGAAGGCTAGCTTTCCCAAGCTATACGAAGGGATTTCTTATCTGCAATACAGGACAGAATATAAGGTGATTGAACTCTCTAGAGATGCAGCAGCGGCATCTGCCTGTTCAGCCGAACGTAGCTTCAACCCTATTCATGTTGTCTGCGGAGTTGACCCTGATCACGAAATTTCAGAACTAACCTAGATACTCGCTTATTTGTGACATTAGACAGAGCAGTATGATAAGAGAAGAATTTGTTCTATTACTCTCAAAACTAAACTCACGAGAACCATAACACCTAAAGACGCCTCGCCCTAACCCCTTGATTTGAAAGATGAAGGTAGTTTTTATCATCATGTCCGAACAGGTATAAGCTTTACCATTAGTACTGGTTTGTCCCACAGAATGTATGCCTTCTGATCTATCCAGTTTTTACTCTCCGGGCTTAGTTCAAGATCGTAATTCCATAATAACATAGCGGCGATGATACGCATCTCATGATATGCTAGACTGTGACAATCCGTTAATATCAATTACTTCTTGAGTCAATATAATACATACTTCTTTCCAATGCAGTTACGTGGCCCAAAAGAAAAAGGCTGTAACACGTCTTTCCTATCTGTGTCGTATCCAGTACCAGGTAGCCATCGCTCAGGAACGAAGTCATTTGGATCTTTGAAGTTTTTGGAAGAGTAATATGCAGCTCTTTGAGATACAGCAACGCTTGTCTGTATCATATCGCATTGTTAGCCTAGCCGAAGAAATGAATGCGTACACATGTGATTGGCCTTTACCTTCTCTGGCACCCATTCACCACATATGACACCGCCTCCCTGTGGCACTTGTCGAGGTAAGCCGATTGGTACTGGTGGATAGAGTCGAAAGGCTTCCTGGAAGCATGCACTCAAATATTGCAGACGTGGTAATACCTCAAGCGATAGGTCTTCCTTTGGCAGAGCGCGCACTTCTTCGACGACTTTCTTCAACTTGTCTGGATGAGTAAGAAGCAAGTATGTCATTCCGCTTAATAACGTCGCTGTTGTTTCGGTGCCAGCGATCATGAAGACTGAAGCGTTTGCATGCATCTTTGAGAGAGGCAATTGGACTTTCTGGTTCTCTATAACAAGCTTCCAGATATCAGATTTACCGATGTCAGTCCCTTTCTCCAGTCGTTTATCCACGCGATCAGAGGCGTGCCGGAAATGTTCGAGGTCTTTACCGCGTATAGATGGAGGCATGAGTGCCTTCATGAAGAACCCCAATGCAGAGTACTGTTTTGCCAGGCGAAACAGGGCAATAACTTTGATACTCTCAAAGACCGCTTTGACCCATGGCGTATACTTGCCTGTATCCAACATACCTAATGGCTCCCCAAAGGTGAGATCTCCCATGATGTCAAAAGTTGCACAATTGAATAACCTTACAAGGTCAATGTGAGCCTCTGGGTCCGTAGCCACATGTTTGTCAAATATTTTCTTCAACTTATTGACATGAAAAGAGATAAGGGGTTCTTGAAGTTTCAAGGCCTTATCGCTGAATGCGTTGGCGAATACCCTGCGGACCTGACTGTGCGATTCTGATGTTGGTTCCCCTACAATGTTATAGTCGCCGTTAATATCAGGACCGTAGGTCTTCTTGTCTTTTTGGAATTCTAGGCGTCCTCCTGTACGGTGACCAGCAATATCTTTCCATGCTTGCGGAGAAATGTAACTCAATTTTCCAGGAGCGAATCGGACGACCTCGCCATATTTTTCATGGCATTCACCGATCCAATTAGCTTCCTCGCCACAGAATAGGCGGTAAAAGTAATAGAGGTTCGTCGCGGCCGCAATTTTCGGACCAGGGACTAAATTTTCAGTCAGTGTGCGAAACTTGCCACGGTGCAATATACAGTTACTTGCATTTTTTCAAAGGGTGAAGGAAAATATTGTAAGCGACACCTAGAACCACTCGAAGAACAATCTATGATTTTCAGTCACGTTGAGACGCCATCAAATTTGGTTCTGTCTTACTATGACACCTATTGCAGAAAGACACAGAAGAACATGCTCTTGTCGGATTGCGCCGAGATCAAGATCAAGTTTCGATAGGACTGTCATGATGATGACTGAGACAATGGTATGTGAGGAGACTGGAATATTGAGGGTTGGACGGACTCATGTTCTGCCTTGATTTATACTGTTATTTCAGGCACATTCACCTCTGTCCTAGCTAACATAGATGTCTCTGTCCCGGATACACTGACATCCGCTTCCTGGCTCATGTGAGTGGCGCATGCGGCTGTGCATAGGTGACTCCGGCCTTGCACCACTATCATCGCATTTGTTGCGAGTTCATGCAACAAATATGTCAATACTTTCTTTCAACTATAGTAGTACTAGATTGGCTCGGATGCGTCATAATGAACGGCGGTATGGAGTACAAGTGGATCACTTTACGATCTACGTTATAAATCCAGTTTTTAGCGTGATATATACGCTGTTAGTGGCAGAATCGCTCATCCCTTCACTCGGAAGCCGGCGTCGTTGACTTCCGTTCTCCACCGGCAATTGCTCATATACGACACATAACTTGGCAACCAATGGTTGCAGCTCAGTTTCTGTTCAAGAAGGACCGTTCTGGACAAGCTAGTGCTCGGAACGGTTGAAAACCACTTCCGACAAGTTCGTGCTTGGGACAGGCCGGTACATATCACACCAAACTTCAAGATGCATCCTAATGACTTTTCTGGGTAAGCGAGCGCCTCCCTCTAAGCGAGCGCCGTCCTCTACTATTGTTATTCTTAGTGGCGGCAGCGGACATGCTCGTCTTGAGATGTCTTGATGTGATTGCGTCTTGCGCAGCATCTCCGAGTAGCTTTCTGATAGCTTTGTGATACGCTGGTAGAGAGTAGCTATTGTACATAGGTGTGATTGAAGGTATGAGCTGTCAGCACGTCACGAAGATGTGGTGATAGTTATCCTGCATTAGATCCAATGTACAGAGGTGCCTTTCAAAAGTTCTTGCTGACAGGGATCATCTGTATTACTACCGAAATACCACCGAAGCTTGATCGGATCTGTCCCGGTGATACTTTTGTCCATGAGGCGGATTCTATCTGGGCACGAACAACGGCACTGGAGCCATTATTGGATGTGCCGGAGACAGAGATCTTGGTATCCTTCGCAGGTCTTAGACCGGGGAGGCTGGAAGGCGCCCGCATCAAGAAAGAAGCGTGGTCTGATGGTCGTATCTTTGTTCATAATTACGCGGCGGGTGGAATGGGCTACCAGGCCGGCCTTGGTATGGCGATGGAAGCAGTAGAACTAGCGCTTCCGTTCCTGGGGGACTCGATAGGTAGTTTGAATAAGTTTGAGAAAACGAAGTTGTAGAGTTGGTCTCGTTTTTATGTACATTGTAAGTAACGTGGAAAGAATTGTTTTATGGAACAGGAGAACTGCATCAATCTAATAATTTAACATGATCCTCGTGCTTCTATTACCATCGTTTTCATCGCAACTATTACACGAATTATTCAAAAACTAGTGCGATATACACGGAGTATTTATTGAGATACCATACAAAATACACCAATTGACATAAAAGATTGTTTTCCCAAAACCATCCCTCATCAATCTCCTACCAAACCCTTATAAATCAACAGAAAACATCTCAGGCAATAGCATTATACAAGTCTCTTACAACTTCCCTCTCCATGCTCTGCTACGTACCGTCGTCTATCTTGTGCAATCTCCATACTACAGCCTCACCGGGCCTTGGTGCGGAGCGCTGATTGGCGGTATTCGGGGGTAGCGCTATCGGCTCCGATCGGACCCACTCCGCTCAGCACAAATCACCGGGGTCCTTTGAACCAAAGGTAGCGGGATATTGCGGGGTGAGCGATAGCGGCAGCTGCTAGCTATCGTCGTTACGGAAAACAAAATTTTATACAAAAAGATAATGGACGCAGGGGAATATGTAGTTTGGAGTATCGCGGCATTGCCCACTACTTGTTGTTTTCCTTACCCCACTCCGTTCATCTCTCTTGCGTATATGTCTGTTTGTGTGTGTGTGTGTGTGTGTGTGTGTGCATGCATTCCAACACGATGACGTATCTTCCTTCTACTGTCAAGATGCACGAGGACGACTTGAAGCATGGCAGCGAAGTCGAAGTCGAAGTCGGCGGGCTTGCACCAGGTGTAGAGAGTAGCACATTACGACGCGTGCCCGATCGCATTCCATGAGTTGTGCTGCTCATCCTAATCGTTGAGCTGGGAGAACGATTTACGTATTTTGGCCTGAGTGCTCCGATCCAGAATTATATCAAGTACGTACGTCCGATCCCCAAAACGTCTCTGGCAACCCACACATGCTACACATATGTAGTACGATATGGAAATGAAGACAGATAACTAAGTGCTTCCTTTAAGAAACCCACACGACCCACACTCTGACCTTCCTGGCGCTCTTGGTCGCGGCCAGGCTGTAGCCACGGCCTTGGGGAACTTTTTCAAATGTTGGGCCTATGCCTCTACTGTCATCGGTGCCATTGTCGCAGACCAGTATCTTAACCGCTTCAAGGCAATCGCCCTCGGATGCGGTGTTTATATTGTCGGTCTTGTGATCCTCGTTGCTACATCGACGCCTGCGGGGATCCGGTCTGGCGCCGGTTTTGGCGGGCTTGTTGCGGCCATGGTAGTAATTGGGTTGGGCACAGGTAGTATCAAAGCGAATATTACACCCATGTGCGCAGAGCAGTACAAGCCTGATTTGGCGTATATGAAACAATTGGCTACTCGCCCCACGTGCCTAGTTCTTCCGAACTAGGCCCTACCCAGCTCAACGTCAACCACCAGCTCAACGTCAATTTCATCAACCCACACGATTTGTATAGTAAATTAACCGCGCAAACACGTTAAATATTATATATTTACTATAGCTACTAAGTGGGAGGTATCTCCTAGTGTATAAAACGCATTACTAGTGCCTATTGACTTGGTGTTGAGGCCTCTGCAGAGGCAGGTGTTGGCTGCTAGGTAGTATCTCGGAGGCGCCGTCTCGTCTCTCTCACAGCCTTACGTACAGCCTTTTGCTCAGCGATCTTAGCTTTTTGAGATACGGCCTCTCGCGCACCTTTAGCTGTAACTATACCTCCTTTCTGAATCGTTGATCGCGAGTTATCCTAGCGCTAAGCCCTCTCGCGGGCAGCAGCTATAGTCTTAGCAAGCTTATAAGTCGCGAGATTATAGTTTAAACCTAGTACAACTGACGCCCTAATAAGTCGCGCAGCCTAATTACTTAGTATATGCTTAGCATAATTACAGAGCTCTTGCGTTTTACGAGCGTACGCAATAAAAGAGCGAGGAGTTATAGGCGTAGGCGTCTCAGAGGCTTAAAAGAGATAGCTTATCTCCTTGGGCGTTAACACCCTCTATAGGCGCGCGAGCTTATATAATACTCTCTTAAGATCCTATAACTAGACGCCTACTAATTTAAAAGCTTTTCGAATAGTAGTAGATTTAAATGTATATCTCCTAACGCCATTAATTGCGTATAGAAACTCGAGCTTATTAAAATTAGTGCAGCCCTCGCGAGCAGCTCTCTTAATGACGCCTCTATAGTGCTTCTTATATACTTAAAAAATACTAACGTTAAGAGGCTGTAGATTATAAGAGGTATAGAATAGGAGCGAGAAAAGTACTGTATTGTTGTCGTCACAAAAATTAATCAGCTCCTTTATGCTATAGGATCTAAATCTATCAAAAATTAACAGCCTCTAGGTGCCTATTTGACGGCGACGACTACAGGCGTTAAAGTGTCGAATCTACTTAAGAGAGAGCTCGTCGTTATTATACGCTGTCTCTAAGACACCCACCATGTAGTCGTTAGGCAACTTTATATTAGTGTACCATTTTAAGAGGTACGCTTTGCCCTTAAGAATGATGAATAGTGCTAGAACGGAGCTGTTAGCAGCGACAGTCTTAACGACTGTAACAGCCTCGCGATTTGTATCAGACGGTAACTATATAGCGTTATTATCGCTAGCTATCGTTATAACGTACTACTGGCCTCTAACGCCTATATAGATACCTATCTCGTCTATATTATATAGATCTCCAGGCTATATAGCGTACTTATTAATTGCGCGCTTTAGAGCGGTAAAGTACTTCTCGTAGACCTCGACTGTATTAGCTGCTAGGCGTTTTATTTCCTGCTTTTTCTGCTTCTTACGGCGGCAGTCTAGGTTGCGCGCCAGCTATCGTGAGATCTAGTTTTTGCCTATAGGTAGTGCCTTGCCATCTGGGTGCTTGAGATCGAGGATCTGCTGCGCGGCAGAAATTAGCTGCGGTATAAGAGGAGGCATGTATAACGCGTCATAGCGAGTAATATAGGCCTTCAGGGCATCCTCCTGTTGCTGATTAAGCCTTCGATTTAGTGCAGTGCGCTCTATTTTTGATGCGCGGCCTGAGACGCGCTTTTGGAGCCTGCTATAGGGCACATGATTATAGTCTGCTACTGCGCGTATATTTGCGTAGATACCACTATCTAACTCGGCAATAGCAATTTCAATACGCTCTTCAATCTGCGCGTAAGTCCCAAAGCGTTGCGACATATTGTTGTGGAGAAAAATTGAGTCAAAGTAGTGGGGGGTAGCAAAATTGACGTTGAGCTGAGTAGGGTCTAGTTCGGAAGAACTAGGCACGTGGGGCGAGTACTGGTGAGTGGGTAATAGTGGATCCCGAACTGACGGTTGAACGCATGTTCAATTGGTTTTATTGGGCGGTCAATGTGGGGGCGCTTTCGCCGCTGATTACGGTGAACGTCGAGGTTCATGTAGGATTTTGGGTCGCCTTCTTAATCGCTTTAGTGTGAGTTGATGCGCTTGTTCATTTCTTTTGTGGTAAAGTTGCTTACAACTACAGGGTCATCATCATTACTGCAATGGTCTTCATCCTCAGCAGCCGGCTCTTTGTTCGAACACCGCCTCATGGCTCAGCGATCATTGATGCTGCTCGTATCGCCACCATTACCATTAAGGAAGGCGGCTTCAAAAAGGCTAAGCTAAGCGCTTTGGGGGCCCAGGGAACTCTTTCACGCCGTCATTTTGCGCAGTTCCCTAACTATACCGACAGGTCTATAAAGGAAGTACAAATGGGTATTACTGCATGCAAGGTACGTTCTACTCCAGCTTATGACCGTACTCGACTAACACATTTGCAGTTCTTCCTTTTCCTTCCTTTATACTTTGTCTGCTGGATCCAGATTTGGAACAATCTCATCTCACAAGCTGGAGACATGGCATTGCATGGTACACCAAACGACCTCTTGCAGAACCTTGACCCCATCGCTTTGATCATTTTCACTTCACTACTAGACTGTGAGTATAAGAAACGAAGACACCTATACCGTTGAGTAAAAGTTTACTAAGCAAATCCAAAGTTGTGATTTACCCTCTGCTTCGCAAGCATAAGATCAACTTCAGCCCAGTCCTAAGAATGACAGCTGGCTTTCTACTAGCGGCAATTGCTATGGCGTACGCTAGAGTGCTCCAGCATTACATCTACAAGTCTTCAAAGAATAGTATTCACGTTTGGGTCCAAGCTCCGGCTTACGTCCTTGTCGCGTTTTCTGAAGCCTTTGTTATCATTACTGGTTTGGAGTTGGCGTATACGAAGGCATAGATGTCAGGATATAATAGGTCATCTATACTGACGTACTGTAGTCTTCGCTCTCTTGTTTCTTCCTTGTTCTGGTTGACAATCGGCATCGCTGCCGCAATCTGCATTGCCCTTGCACCCGTGTCGCAAGACCCGTATCTGGTATGGATGTACGGCTCTCTCGCCATCGTCGGCTTTGTTGCAGGGTGTGCCTTATATATTTGCTTCCGAAACTTTTTCCAGGAGGTGCCAGTCATTGTAGGCACTGAAGCGGTGAATGAGGTTGGTGTGAGTAAGGTCACTGCGGATGCAGGGAAACTTGCTGTCGAGGAAGGAAACAAGTGTGCCAAGTAGTTAAATTGCCGTCTTTGCTCATGTTAAATACTGGAAGTTCGAATGCCATCCATATTTCTTTAAGCTGTCTGCAACCGACGTTCATACTGTTCCTATCCAAAACTCATGTTTCCTACGATTCCGTTTCTTATGAAAACGCTGTCTAGACCTTTCCAAAAGATTGAATGGATGCGCAATAACGAGAATCTTAGAATATCTAGTGATTTTGATTGTAATCGGACAGCTATCCGGGCCTGGTCGAGAAGGGTCCTGCATTCTTGCGCTTCTTCGGGGCTATCTGCTGTCGCGTGAAGCAAAAGTGCGAGATTGCACAATGTCGACCAGCCCAGCGTGCACCCTAGGTCGCACAATTAGCAAAAAAATTACTTTCCAATCACCATCTGCCACATACAGAAAGGCCAAAATCCGTAAATCCAGCTGCTCTTTAGATTGGACGTGAATGCCACAAAGCTAGCGATGCAACCTTTTGCTCCTGCTCGTGCCAGTCGGCACGCTTCAAGCTCCCTATGCTCATCAGTAGAACTAGTGGGCACTGTTCTGTATCTCAAAGCATTGAAGGGCCTCAGTATAGCTCGAAAGAGAAGTACTTTAACAAAATGGCCTCCGAGAAACAATGCATCTGATAGACTGATTTCTTCGTCTTGCGACGCAGACTGGCTGTCGGCAGCAGCGCTATTTCAGCGATTAAGTTCCTCCATTATGCCTTGCGCCTTCCTTAATGTGTCTTCACAGTCTCCTGCAAGAGTTTGTACTGCTTTGAGAGTGCTACAGATGTTAGTTTTACATTTGTTGTCGGGGGATGTCTGGGGAGAATTACAAAAGTGTTTTCAGAGTCGTATGTAGGATGATTGTAAGTTCCTACATATGAATGAATTGCGCAGGAAATAGCGTTGTTCTTTCTTCTTCTGAAAAACCGTCTAGAGATGGTGGCAGAACGAGCCAATCGTCATCATGTATGAGGCAGCTCCGGCCCAAGACAGCAGCATGCCAGACAATCATCTTGACGGTCCACCACAACCGCTTCCTCAGCTCTATCTCGGCATTTGGTATACTCCAAAAAGTGGAGTTGAAGTGCAAGCCCAGTGTCTGTGCAACGGTCACCGTTGTGCCAACAAGCGACCACTTTGTCGCATAATCTGGCATGAGCGGCTTATGTGGAGGCGAAATTAGCAGCAGGACCAACGTTTGTAGTACAGACAAGTCTAGCTCATGCAGCTCCTGATGCAACACATTCAACGAAAGATTCCATAGTTCTTCTGCATCGGGAAGATCGTATGCTATCTGAACGGAGAGATAGTCGTCAAAGCCGACAAATGGTAGTGTAACTAGATATATTACGGCAAGATTAGAAGGATTCGATCGCTCGGGCTCTGCTGATTGCGCTGGAGAAAGGATTGGAAAATGAGGGTACACGAATCGAAAGAATCTAGATGTATTAGCTTGAATGGGACGGAAGTATAATTGATCTTGGTCTTTCAAACAAAGAGATCAACTTGACACCCACATCAGGACTCACAAGCTTCTCTAGCTGTTTGCGAAGAGAATGATTGTGCTGGTTACACTCCTCCGCCGCATCTGTGACATTGAGACTAGAAGTTGAACTGGATGGATATTCTGCCTCACTGAACGAACTGCTAGTCGTTTGAAGACGAAGTTATCATCAGGGCCAACATTATATCTTTGCAGAAGGTATGGGTCCATGTCCCCTGTTAGGCCACAGACTATGCTTGTCGTCTTGAGTCCTTGTGCCGACGGCGAAGGAAATCCTAGATATTCCATGGACACCTTGTTCGGTGGAGGATTAATTCGATTGAAGTTCTGTATATTCATGTCAATCATGGCTTGGTCAACCCAAAGGTTGGCTAATGGACCTGGTGGTTCGCCTGGCAAAAGGTAGCCTTGTTGGTCGAAGAAGGCACCATTCGAATTCAAAGCGTTGCTTTGTTGGCTTGTGAATTCTAGACTGGCTGGCTCTTGTGTAGATATGCTTAGGGATACATGTGTTGCCGTTGCTACAGACGCGCGTGTATTCTTGGTTGCGGCCTCAAATGTGCAGTCGCGCCCCGAGAGATGACATAGCCGGCATGGAGGTGCAGAGTCGATGCGGCATACACTTTTGCGCGTCCTGCAACTACCACATGCTCGTTGCGACTTGCTCATATATTTTCGCATGTTGCCGCTCACAGAAGAAGAACGAGAGGTTGCTCGTCCACGGCGTTATCAACTGCCAAGCTAAGACTCGTCCTTTACTGAGGCGTCAGAAGGATCCTATGATTGGCCCAAATGCACGAGTACTCAAGTGATAGTGGAACAGCAACGAGATAGGAAGCGATGTATTAACATACGGGTAGTAATTATACTGAATCCCTTATTGTCGATTTGAATGTTCACGATAAGTCAATATCAAGGGCAAGCTGTTGCGTAGGACTATTACGAATAACGGCTCACGAAGGGAAGTATCGCGCGCTTGGGGGCATGAATAGATCTCTCTGAAAGCTGAGAAAAGTCATTGTTTCATTCTCTGCGCCGTATCTTCTGCTGATGTATAGACATCCGGGCAATAGATGGCTGGGCTTCTACAGAAACGCAACTACAGTACTACGCACAGGTGCTGCATAACGATTCTACTTCTTTCCCGGTGATGGAGATTGCAAGGTCTTCCGCGTACCGCTTCGGGGCAACTGTAAAGCCTTTGGAAGATCGCGAACTTGCTTATCACGCTCTCTCTTAGCGTCATGTTTTGCCGTCTCCCTAAACTTCTCGGCTCTGTGCTAAATATATTCTTTCTAGATACATTCTTGCTGCACACATACATTTAATTTAATTCATTTCATCTTCACAACTCTCGCCATATTACAAAACACATTCAGCCAATCCTAAATTCTTTGTTCAAAAAAGAACTCCATACAGCTACCGTCGTAGATGTCAGTTGAGCTATTCACCTCCGCCCAAATAGTTGTGTTGATATGTAGTATCGGGAGCATCGGTAGCCTCTACGTGGCGCAGTCAAATCTCTAACACAAATTTCTCCAACTCTGCAATCACATTGGCCATAACACTAACAGTAGAATACAGATGTAAGTAATAAGGACAACCTGGTGTTTCTCAAGAATGAGCTGCACTTACCACGCTCACTCGCGGACGTGAAACACCAGAATCCAGTATTCTCATGGAATGTGTCGATAAAATGGTAGCTGCGCAGATCATTCACTCCTCGGAACGAACGTCACGATCTAGAACAAGCAATTAGCGGCGCGAGTGAATTCACACAGTTGCCATCGAAGACGAGATATTGGTCGCGTCGCGCATTTCTTTTGAATGGCCCAGGGAGGCTTTGGTTTCGACGCTGATTACTTCATAAGATGAGCTGCTCAGGAATCGCGAGACTTCATGCTGGGGCCATTTTCAATCGCAGTATACAAGGATGGTTATGGGCGGTGTTTCGTGGCGATCACGCATCCTCCTGCCGTTTCTGGTCGGCCCGGGGTTTCCACACGTCATCTCCGAGATAAGTAAAACCGATAACGAAAAAAAGTCTTCCTCCTCCCTTACTGCTTGAATGTTTCTTGATACAATCGCCCACTGCGACATGCTACCCTGCTGACAACAGCGACGCTGGAAGCGTCGTACGGACATCATTTCTAACCTGCCATGTCTGCCAACAGGATGCGGCGCCGCAGCAATGCGCACAGCGAAGAAGAAGTTATTCCCGGCACGCGACGACTATACGAGAGCGGCCAAACCCTACCCGAAGACTCGTCGCTAGAGAAGTCGGGCAATATCCTCCTTGTGCCTCAGCCCACGAATTCGCCCAACGATCCGCTGCGCTGGTCCTTGTGGCGCAAGGTCTGGCACTCGCTCCTCGTCCTGTATATGGTTGGCTTCACCGCGGCAACCTCGAATAACGCGGGATCCGGCTCAGACGGTGTGAATGAAGAGTATGGCATTAGCTATGATGTCTTCAACACTGGCGCTGGCGTGCTCTTCATTGGTATCGGCTATTGGGCTCTTTTGAGCTCTCCTCTTGTGCATTTGTACGGGCGGAGGTTGGGCTATCTTGCCTCGCTCGTGCTCAACATCGGCGGCCTTATCTGGTATGCGCGCATTGACAGCGTCTCCGGTGTGGTGTGGAGTCAATTGTTCGTCGGAGCTGCCGAGTCGGTCGGCGAAGCTACTGCGCAACTATCGCTTCTTGATATCTGGTTTGAGCATCAGACTGGTAGTGTGCTTGGAATGTACACATTTGCGACGGCCATTGGCACCTATCTTGGCCCTCTAATCGGTGCCTACGTATCTGATGGACTTGGCTGGCGTTGGATCGGCTACCTTGGTGCCATCATTTGCGGTGGCAGCCTTGTCGTTTTTTACTTTGGCTTAGAAGAGACGGAATTTTCACGCGATCGTTACCTCGCTGGTAATAACGACCCTATCATCCTCGACGCCGAACAGCCTGTCGGTAAAAGCTCTCCAGACGATACCAACGGCGAGAAGACAGTGTGCGAGTCCAACCCGGAGACTGCGCTTTCTGTGGATCGGAAAAAGACTTATTGGGAGCGTATCCGCGTCATCACTCCGGCACCGAACCTGCGCGGAACAGGTTTCAAGCAGTATCTCAATCGTCTGTGGCACACCCTCGGCGTTTTCACTTTCCCTGCTGTGTGGTATGCCGGACTGCAATGGGGCTTCCAGCAGTCTTGCTTGACCTTTTATCTCACTCTACAAGAGGACACATGGTCTGGCGAACCTTGGAATTACGGGTCCGTTGCGGTGGGCAATATGAACATCCCCACGCTGATTGGCAGTCTTATTGGCTGCGCTTATGGAGGATACGGGAGCGATGCATTCATGCAGTGGATGATCAGGCGCAACAAAGGCGTTATGGAGGCTGAATACCGGCTGTATCTGATGGCACTTTGCACCTTGATTTTCCCTACTGGCCTTTGGCTGTTTGGCATCGGCACGGCCCGAGGTTGGGATTGGCCGGTGCCATACGTTGGGCTGGGCTTCATCGGGTTTGGCTATGGATGCGCTGGTGACTTGAGTTTGTCTTATCTTGCAGACTCGTTTCCGTAGGTCCACTGTTACTCTGATATCAAGGTCGCTGCTAACAACTCCCAGTGATATGGTTCTTGAAGGCATGGTTGGTGTCGCAGTCATCAACAACACGCTTGCGATGGTATTTACCTTCGTCGCTAGCTTCTGGATCGACTCCGGTCTGGAAAACTGCTTCATCGTGCTTGGGGTACTAGGTTTACTGGTTATGGGGCTGAGCCTACCCATGGCCATGTTCGGTAAGCGCACGCGGAGGAGGTTGAGGAATCGGTACGCAACATTCATCCAGATACGCGATGGATTCTCAAGGTAGGAGCTGATGTGGACCGTATATTGAGCGCTAGTATGTGAGCTAAACAAAGAGTCGTGCAATTAGCAGGGTATATATGTAGTAATAATACACGTGAACACTCACTACCATGTTCGGAAAGTGAGTATCTAGTAAACTCTGAAACACATGATTTACAAGAGTGACCATCCTCCCATAGACTATTTCTCAAGACGCCAAGCTAGGAAATGCATTCTTTTACCATATGACCATTACCTACAGTTTCAAGCAGTCTTTTACAAAAAAGGCAGTTCAAACTCCGAAGTTGGGACGAGGTCCGGATCCACCTGACGAAGATCACGTGGGGAGGCGATCGATTCTCTGTGCCGAAATCGTCAGCTCAGAAGAGCAGCTGATGTCTTTTTCTGCCTCGGTAGATGCTCCATCGGTGAGCCAATGGATGACGACGTAACCCCAGAATACTGCGAATCTGTTAGACATGGGTTCGAAGGAGGAGGATAACTGTCTTACCATCCGCAAGGCAGATGCTACTGCAAACCAAAGCGACGCCCTTTCCTTCCACAAAGAAATATTGTACGATGAAAAGTATCAGGGTGATCACCGTAATGACGAACGCTCCTATGATGCTCTTCTGCAGCAATGATCGAATGCTCCTTTGCACCGCCGTATCACTGCTTCCCTCTAGCTCGACCATTCCTGACCGCGCTTTACTGCTGCCAAAAATAATGGAAAGGCTCCAGTTCCCGTTCTGCTTGAGCACTGGCTGGAGAAGATAGAAGAAAACCAGAGTGAGAGCAACGTCCATAACGATGTCAATGATTAGGAAAGGCACCGTGACCTTCCTTTGGATTCCCGTGTGACATCGCCCCGACTTAGGATCCATAGCGGTGTAGGGATGAAGCCAGGCGTTGATAACGATACCGGCTGAGGCGGTCAGCATGAACACCATGCTCCCGATATATACCCAATCGCTACGGCGAGTTACATATGGTGCGCGAACAACATGAATGCGTTCGACAAGAAATATGTAACTGGAGACATTTTTAGTGATTGTTCCCGTCAAGGTTGGTGGTGTGAAGCTAACATTACGCTTTTTGTCAACGCATAGAGGACAAGACACACACACACCAACTTTTAAGCTGAATTTTTTCATCAAAACTCGTCAATTTTCTATCGGATATAGGGGTAACACGTCGCGAGAAATCGATTAACGCCGCCTCTAACGTGTGCAGCCCTCTCGTTGAGGTGCTAGAGGGGGTATTATCGATTTTCCCGCGACGTGTTCAAAATGCGAAAATCTTCGAGAACGCACGGACCGCCCCGATGACTAATAGAGAGACTACCATACGACAACAAAAACAATCGAAAAATAACAAAAGAAACAAAACTACTCAAACGCCAAGATAGCTGTTGCTCGATAGGCACCATATCCAAACGCCGAGACAGCTACTACTCGCTGGGCACCATATCCAAACGCCAAGACAGCCTCTGCCTGCTGTGGCACCAATTCTAAACGCTGATACAGTGGTTGGTTACACTGTAGAAGCACCAATTTCAAACGCCAAAGCCCTCGCCCGCTAGGCACCAAAATCAAACGCTAA